AAGGAGGACTGCAAGGGGCGAATGGGAAACTGTGTCCGATTTATGCAATTTGAACTTCTGCGACTTCATCTATCTATGTCTCTACAGCCCTTGTGGACCTTGGCCGTCTTTTAAATTCCTCAATTTCTTGCATTTAAGATTTTTTAGAATAATACGTGTATACGAATAGTGTATCAGTAGAAAAGGGGATTACAGAATTGATCTGAAAACACGGAGTATATGGTGATAATGTCGATATAATAGCTACTAGTGAAATTTATGAGGTGTCTCTCAGTGTTTCTTTTGTGTCTGAGGACCAAATCGCTCACCCACTGACTGTTATATGTAATCAAGTTGTGGCCGAAAAGAAGTCATCTCATTTTTAGTGATGAACTGGACAGTCAGTGGTCATTATGATGCTCTGTTGCCAGTTGAAACAAAATAGATGTTAGTCACTTTTGATGAAAAATGTTCTTAGGCAGTCACTGCCGAATATATTTCCTTTAAAGAAGACAATTGTCTACTAGGATGTGGAATTGTATTCAAGAGATGTCTGGATATTTTACGGTTCCACTCAAGTTATTATATATGAATGTTGGGATGATATCTTGAGTTAGACCACAGTCACCTACTCCAAAATCTCTGCCTATTCGACATTCTTGATCATCTATCTGTCTCGCTCAAAATAGTAAAAACATAATCTCTACTCTTGAAATGTCTCATCAGATAGCTTAGGGATCAACAGTCTGCTTCATGTTTGGTCGATTCTTAAGCGTTCATAGAAGTTATTTTTTTTTCATGCTTTCTGGATGAAGGATTAGAAACAGTAATCATCAAAAGAAAAAAATATTAACAAAATGACCAAGAAGCAAACGTATTCTATTCTGTTAGTTGGTGTTAAGTGTTAAATAGAGCTATGTAGTCAGGATTACCGGATATTTGAACGTTGTAGTGTCTGCATTATATCAGTTTCTGATGAAAAATTTCCTTTGTATATTAACTTGTTCAAAGCCTTGTGTAGCATTTGAATATTGTAAGTAATTTTAATATAGTACTCCTTCCTCTCTATACTCGTATTTTGTGCTCATGGCTATGACAGGTGTGGGGGCAAATTGCCCTTGAATCATCACAGCTCTATGTGACAGAAGGCACTACTGTCAGGAGTCCATTTGCTGACACGGTGAGTTACCTTTACAGTTCGAAAGGTCAGTTTTGGGGAATCTGACAAATGGCTTCATTTGGAAACTAGACACAGTAATGTGTATGTGCTTTGTTTCAGTTCACTGAATTCCATAAAGTAAGCCAGAATAATGACAGTGTCCATCTTACTCTATGCCATTTCTAACATGGGGTTGCAATGAATGAGCGAACAAACAAAAAAAATCCGTGGCCTGTAGCCCGCAAGCGAACTATATCGACGGAGTGACCGCAGCTTGTCGGCGAAGTTAGTGCCAACTTTTGCAAATAGAGCGTGTCACGTGGTCAGCGCAATGGATCCCCCCGGCCGTTAATCTCGGTTTTCTAGACCAGAGCCCATATTTCCTTGAAACAGCTCCTCAGTTATCCTAACGAGGCTGAGTGGATCCCGTTCCAGAACCACTACTTCTCAGAAAATGTGGTAGCGCCAGGAATCTCTGGATCTTTAGCCAGGAACTCTGACCACTAGGCCACAGAGTTGGATCAATGGATACAAATACTTTAGTATTCTGATGGTGTAAATTAAGGTATTTTAAATTCAATTCAATTCTTTATTATTTATGTGCTGAGACAACAGCTGTAAAGCTGGTAATACATATAGGTAAAAATGAAAATTCTGTCACTTGCTACATTTTTGGTGATTTAAACTTTCATCAAGCAAAAGTAACAACAATAATTTTGAGTACCGAGTACTGATATCAGAAAGAAAACTTACAGCTGTCCCCTAAGCACTCAGAACTCTAATATGTCCATTGTGCACCCCATCGCTGCTCTAGATTCTTAAAAGACTTGGCCTTAGCCAGAACCTAAACCCTCCATACTGAGGCCCTCTTAATTTCCATCACCTGTATCCATGGAGAACCAAAGGTCACGGATCAATTCCCAACCACTCTGGACTCTGACATAATGTCTTCTTCCTTTGGGTTGTTGGCAGTGGGATATCCCAGAGTCTTCCATCATTTCTGTCAGGAATATCAGAGTTAACACCCAACACTGATCCCAGCTGGACCAAGAGCTGAGCCACAACCAAGTCTTCAGTTTCCTTCAGAAGAGACCTCTTCTTGATTAGTCTCTTCTGCTGGTCAGATATTTATTCTCATTAATGAACACGCTATTCACCCCATTAAGAGAATCCATTCAGTTCTGCTCTCTTGGGCCCCTCATGAAAGCCCCAAAGAACTCATGGCTACTTCAGCTCAACAGCAGAGGTCAACAGCTAAGCCCTTCTTTGTGAATGATAGATCTGTGTTTCTTGGATTTCTGATGGTGGAAGATCTGTAGCATCCACTATCATTCACTGACAGGGACAGCTGACCATCCCGCAACTGGCCGCAGCCGAGGCCTCAGTTCCTTAAGAGACAGGACTCCTCTACTGGCCTGTCCAGTTCTTCAGCTTGACAGCCAGTTTATCCACCCCTGTAAAGAAACCTCTTACAGTATTAACCTCAGTGGATCCTCACAAGAGTCCATAAGAGATCTGTCTCTCCATGACAGCAGTAGAGCAGAAGACCTAACATCTAACCCCTTCATAGAAAGCAGAGAAGTGCCCCCTCCCCCACCCAAAGCACTGGCCACAGCAGCCCTCTGTTCATATGTTAGGGGCAGCAGTGCACCCACCTGGTCTGAGCTAGACCCATAATCAAGTACAAGCCAAGGTCTGGTATCTGAGACTGGAGTTCCAACCTCCCAGCCCACATCATGGGTTAGCTTGTTCACTTCTACTTGACAGTCTGGTTATTCACCCTTATCAGGGAACCTTTCACAGTCTTGCGCTGACTGGGCCATCTCCAGAGCCCCTGAGGGATTTCTCTGCCCTCCACGACAGCAGAAGGCCAGAAGACACAGCATATGAACCCTTCAAAAGAGGGAGAAAAAGCTCCCACTGCCCCAAGCACTGGAGGCAGGGACCCTTTTTCTTTGTTCTTGATCCCGTCATCATCGCTTTTATTGTTGTGGTGGTGATGATGATGATGATGTTGTTGCTGCTGTCATCTTCATCTTCATCGTCATTGTTTCTTACTACTAGGATCTTCTCAAATTTGTTTTGAAGCAATATATTGACAGTTTGTTTCCCATCATATTTAGTGGTGACAGCATTACTTCATGTTCACGTTTCTAAAAAAAATGCAACATGAAATTTTAAGTTCTTGTGGTAGTGAATATTAAAACTACAGTCATCTGTAATGTGACGCCATGTGGTCTGGTAGATGGCTGTAAGAACCTGCTGCTTTTATCAGCAGAGTAAAAGAAGTAACTTCTAGCCTAAAGATGGAACACCAAGTTCCTCCAAAACATTATATTGTATTTTATATCAGCATCCTGTTGCACTGAGGTATAACTTGCAGTTTCGTTTTCTGTCTATAATGCAACAATATTAATTTAACAATATTAATTAACAATTAATTTACTAAATGTTCATTAAATGTTTAAAATGTCATTAAAATTATTAAAATATATGTACATTCAGTGTTTATGCTACAGGTTTTAGCAAAATAGGGCCATCTTCATGCAAAATATTTTTTAAAGGAGTCTACTGCACTGTGTACTTGGTCAAACAGTATTCATTAAGGAATGTCATTGCTGTTATAATTAATTTTTTTTTTAATTCTGATGTTGTAGGATGATTTTATAGGATGATTTTCTGCCTATCTTATATACTGTGGTTGGTTTTGTGTCATGTCACAACTAAGAGAAAACACGTTTCCAAAAGTATTTCTATTGTTTCATGCATATCCGTTGTTGTATGAACATGTTTACTGAGCTGTTGACTAGAAATGGCTGTACATGGTACAGTATATTGATGTACAAGAACATAAATGATTTATCCATATAATTTCAGTTAATATGAGATTGTACTATTATATTAAATGGAATATTTGGTGAACTATATTCTGGGATGTGACAGCGTGTAGTCTGGTAGGTTTTACCTAGTAAACTTACTTTCCTAGGTCAAAGATGGAGGTATCATATTCCTGTGAAATACAGGTAAACACCTACCAAATCCCAGAATACCACTGTGAGAAACAAGAACTGAACATTCTCTGGTTTCATTAGTTTATTGTAAACAATGAAATAACTTAAGCTGTTTTGAGTTTTCTTAGGGTGTTATAATTTACTATAATGATTTTGAATTGTACATTTGTTTACCAGAGACTGGAGACATCATATTTCTTGCTAATCATTAATGAATATTGATGTTAACTGTCCTTTCCAAAACAAACCACTATAGTTAACTGGAATTTATGTACTTTTGGGGGGATAAAAATGCATGTGAATATTACAGTGTTGTTCTGGTCAATAAATATTACTGTTCTTGTTAAGTTCATGCACTTAGTGATTACATTGAAACTTGTAATGAAAGCTGGATATTCAGAATTTTAATTTTCAGAGCCCTGAAATGGGTACATTTAAGTCAGAGGGATTTGTTTCTTGGCAACTAAAATGTTACCAGCAAATAAGGCATGTTCCATTTACCAGTTTTTCAGATAGTGCTTTTTCTTTCTATACTTCTCTGCTTCAGTGGATTTAGAGGAACTAACATGTCCTTTTGAAAAGAAATCTTTTGATCCTTTACAACTACCATGTTGGATTTATCTTACAGGATATACTACTGAGGAAATTATTGGAATATGACACTGAAGGAAATTCTTGGCAAGTCGTTTGATAAAGTATGAAATGAATGGATCTGGCTCAACATATTATCCTACAACAAATTTATGTTGTCAAACTGAAGAATTGTTTTAATTACATAATGTCAGTGAGGCAGCACTTGTTATAACAATAAGCTGTAGTTTCTGTCTTCATAGGCCATTAAACTGTTACAGACAATTGAGAAGCTGCCAGACAAAGTGCTGCTTAACATCTTCTCATATTTGTCTCATCGTGAGATCTGCCGCATGGCACGTGTCTGCAAGAAATGGAGGATGATTGCATACGATACACGTCTCTGGAGAGATGTTTCTCTACGTCCTGAGATCTCAGGATTACATGTTGGATCACTTGAGTCTCTGCTTGGGCTCATCAGGTTAGTTGAATGTAATATTAATTTATTATTTATCATGTGTCAACTACTGTCACAATTGTTACAGACTTCAAGACATCCTTGGCTAAGTGACATCATATAGTCTGGTAGACATTTACTGACATTTCAAATGAAAATCCTGCCTCCATCTTCAAGGTTAAAAAGCAAGCAGTGCAAGGAAGCAGCAAGCACTCTTGCACCATGTTGAAATGTCAGTGAACTTCTGATAAGCAGCAAGAATGCTTGCTGCTCGCTTGAATAGCTTAATCTTTGACCCTGAAGATGGAGACAGTATGTTCTTTTGAAACATCCTTACACTTCTGCCAGGCTACACAGAATCACATCCCAGAAGTTAGTACACATAACTGAGAAGGGATATTCACCTCTTACCAGAAAATGTAGCCCCAAATGACATCTGACCTAGTAAAGGCTTTATTCTGCTTTTGTACATATAGAACCATATACTTCTGTACTGTGGACTTCCAGGTTATGACAATGTATAGTCTGGTACGTGGGTACCAATGCTGTGGAGGAACAAAGTACTTCTATCTTCAGAGTAGAACTGCATAACCACAAATGTTTATGCCATAATTATGTTGGAAATTAAAAATGTGTCATACAAATTGTATAGGCATACTTATAATATCGGGGCACATGGTAGTGTAGTTGGTTGAGACACTATGCTACAAGCCAGAAGGTCACAGGATCAAATCCTGATGAGGTAGATTTTTTTCAATTTACCTAATCCTTAGCGCCACATTATGGACCTGGGGTCGACTTAGCCTCTAACAGAAATGAGTACCAGGAATATTCCTGGGGGTAAAGGTTGGCCAGTGCATAAGGTTGACAACCTTACCATCATCTATGAGCCGATGGTCTAGAAAATGTGCGAACCTCAACGTCTCACAACCCTATGGACTTCCACGTACTGTTACAGGGATACCTTTACTTTTACTTATAATCTCACAAACTAGGTATATCAGAATTTGGAAGACAACTGAGTGGCTTTACAAATTCTCTGTCCTCCCACCCTTGTTTGCAAATATTTTACCAAGCTACACGTAATCATCTAGCAGGTTAGTACAGTTGTTCTCTGACAGATCAACTTTGGGAGGTACTCAGTACAAATTGTAGTTTATTATTTGGGGTTCAGATTGAGGCTTTTCATGATTTTCTTCAACATTCATCATTTCTAACCATCCAGTCATATTTTATGTTGCATAATGCTATGATTGATACACTGTATGAGAACCTGTACATAATTTGGTGTCCTCCTCTTCTTCAATAAATGTTGAACATTTTGATATCCCTGACTGCAGATTTTGATAATTTGACTGTGATATATCATAAAGGAACAATTCTCCAAACATTCCTATCATATCACATAACTCACTTGTTCATTTTTTGTTCAGTGTACAAGTAATCATATCTTCCTACAATGTTTAAGCACTAACAACAACTGTGAAGCTAACGTTATTTTCAGCAATAAAATGTGTGATTTAGGCTTATATATTTCTTAAAAATATCGCACCAGCACTATTAATCCACTAACATCTGTCTTGTTCCATGTCTGCGTGTGTACTCGATACGCTAGTATGAACATGTATCACCTTTAAAATTAGAACACTAACTCTGTCTTTGGCATTTGTAGTTTCCAATATGTAACTCTAAGTAGGTAGATAAAATATTTTCCTGCATTGTTTGTTCTTTTTGAAGTTTCTTTTTTTCTCTTCCCATGTTGCTATTCTACTTTCTAAGTCCTTAGAAGACCTAATTTCTTATTTTATGATTATGATTGTTGTTTGTTTGTTTATTTGTTTACTTGTCTGAAGCGCTTGCTTGTAATTTGTCTTTGACTTTATGAAGTGTTTGTCCATAATGTAATTACTTTTATCTACCCTGTGTTCTGTCTGTAATTGGCCTTGTGGCTGTTGAGTCGGCACATAAATAATAAAGAACTGAATTAAATTACAATTTATATTTTCCACATCTCCTGCCACCACTTTATGTTTGTAACTATGTAATTAACCAATTTGATATTTCACACAAAACCATTATGCACCATAACAACCCTATGAAATTTTACTTATGATGTACTATTATTCGTTTCCCATACAATGATACCACATGCATATACCACAGTTTCTGGTATGTAACTTTCTTGCTCTTCTGTTACCCTTCTTACTGTCTCATCCATTACCATATTGAACAACATAGGATAAACACCTTCCTGTCTAGGTGCACTAAAAGTCTGAAATTATTCAAATTTTTTGTTGTCTATGATCTACTGCTCTCACATCTTCTGAAATGTCTTTATTCTTATAGTATTCCTTGCCTGTTCTATGTATTACCATTTGTGTTTCAATATGAGTGAAGACGAAATGTTTGTTTCCGTTAAATTCCCATAGTTTTGCTATTATCCCTCTGACTACAAAAATTAAACCAGCTGCTGACCTGTTATCCATTAAATCATACTGTTCTTCTTTCATAAAATATTTGGATATCTACATTTTAAGCCATTCTTCCAGTATTAGGTTTGGTCCTTCTCTGCGCTACATTGAACTGCCAATTGAGCTCATCACACACACTGTACTACATGAGCTTGCCAACAAATGTCCAAATCTGACACACATGTTACTGGATTTCTCCACAGCCATGCAGTTGCATGACTTCAGTGAGATGCAGGTCAGTGCATAAAGGGAACGATTTTGGATGGGTCATGTCTCTCTGTGTGTATACTACACAACCCAAATCACTTCACATATTTTAATAAAGATCCCTAAAAGAGGTCAGCATTAAATATTTTTCTGTGAATTTCAATTTGATTCCTATTGGCCCTCTAACCTGTATTTTACATGAAGGTCAAACCAGATTTATCAGGTATATTATAGCTGACTAAACATATAAATAATGGATATATGATGTGGAATATATATTATCAAGATTAATACGTTCTGCCCTGAACATTTATCAGTGCATTGTGCATGCAGTGAAATAGAATGAAAAATAATTTTTTAATGTGTAGGTGAATATCTCCACTGCTGTTTAACTCTGTCAACAGTAGAGTATAATTTTATGCAATGTTAGTAGGGACATTTTTTACTAACTCTGTTAATAGTAAACTTCATTAGCAATGAATGGGAATCAATAGATTAAGGGGCATGAAACTGCAAAGATATAGCTGGAAACTCTGTTCATTCTGTGCATTGTTATCATATCATGCTTCTGTGTGTGAGCGTGTGAACATTAATGTGCATTTGTGTTCACACACATGTGGGTGTTCATGAGAGAGAGAGAGATTGAGAGGATCCATTGAACCATTATGATGCTCTTGTTTAAGGCATGCATGGTCCCAGACCTCTCAAAACACTGATGTTGTAAGTTTTAGAATTTTACCTAGAGCTTGTACATTTTTCCATGTTTTTCTAGATTATGTATTGTCCTGTAATTATAGAGACTGCAATGTTCTGGCCATCATTGCACTGTGGTGCCAAGAATGAAGAAGAATGTATTAATTAAAATATCCACTTAATAATTCTGACATGATATGTTGGGTTGTTTTACAGGCATTTCCAACAAAGCTACGGTACATGTGTATTTGCCTGTCAGAGGTCATCTTCATGGAGGGCTTCATGAGAAAAATTTACAATTTCATCAATGGACTTGAAATTCTACATTTAATAGGTAAGTAATAACTAGCATATGCAAGAAGATCTTACTTATGCAATCTTTCATAATCCATGACAAAGGAAATGTATGATCATACTAGAACATTTATCAATTAGAAATGAACATAATTAGCGGTATTACAGAGAGAGAGAGAGAAAACAGATAAAATTAATTCTGTATCCCCACTCATATTTTATGTATTATTTACTTTATTTAAAGATTAGTATAATATGAATGTGTACATAGCCATCCCCCACAGTGAGGATTATGTTGCTGAAAAGTGCTACATTTAGCAAGCTAAAGCATAATGAAAAATTTGTGGGCATTGTAAACACTTGTCAAAGTGTAACTAGTTGCTTGTTTTTTCATTAAGCACAAATTATGTAATATTAGACACAAAATACAAAAGATATCAGATGAAGGTGCACCTCATAGGTAATCTGTAAGCTAGGAAACTGATTTCAGATATCATTGCAGACTGAGCAATAATAAATGGAGCTCTCTTGATGCCAAAGCCCACTGACTATTTTCACACGTACACGGAAACCTTGGATACATAAACCAAGATTCTATGGTTGACAAAACTAAATATTGATGGAAAATTGTGGATACTTTAAATCTGTGGTTTGAAAAACTGCAGTGGTGAGGGTTTTCTCTGTCGCTCTGTACATACATTTTTAGAATGGCAGTGACAGATTTTAACAGTTCCATGGCATGTTACTGAATTTTTTAGCCAAGAATGCCAAAAAACACTATTAATACCACTGCATCTTGATACAAGCCACTAAATTATCTATATGTGCTGCCATTTCTAGTTTTTAAAACTTATAATTAAGTTTCTTTTAAATTTGAAGATGAATTGTTTGGTTGAGTGTCATGAGACTCATTAGTTAACATCTATTTTTAACTCTCTTCCTGACACATTAAACGGCGTGTTTGAAAGTTGCTGGTACCATTTACTGACAATTATAAATAAGTAGCATGACTTTAGATTCAATATTAATTTTTTTGACAGGAAATGAAGCTAGCTTTTGTGTGCTGTATGCATGTTTGCCTGTGTGGCTGTTTGTATACACATGCAACACTCATGATTGCTTGCTCTGAAATATAGTATAAAATAATACTAGAACACAGGTTCATTAACACAGGGCATTTTACATGTCCATGACATTTCTTCATCACCATTAAAAATTTTACTTTTCAGAATTTCGCTAAAATAGCATTAGGCTCAAATTTTGGAATACATTTTGAACAGTTGAACGTTATAAGGCATAAGTAAAAATTTAATTTTGAAACTTAATGTTTGCTTAGATTTGGTTAAATAAACAGTTTCTTGGTCAGAGGACTGTTTTTAATTCGGGCATTTCTAAACTTCCATAATGAGCTTAAATAAAATTAAATATAATATTATATTCTTTTAAAGAATGGTATGTGTGAAAGAATTATCTCTGTGGTCTAGTGGTCAGAGTTCCTGGCTACAGATCCAGAGGCCCGTGTTCGATTCCTGGCGCTACCAGGTTTTTCCTGAGAAGTAGTGGATCTGGAATGGGGTCCACTCAGCCTCGTGATGATAACTGAGAAACTATTCCAAGTAAATAGTGGCTCCGGTCTAGAAAACCGAAATTAACGGCTGTGAGGATTCGTTGCACTGACCACGCTACACCCTCTATCCGCAAAAGTTGGCGCTAATTTCGCCGACATGCGGTGGTCGCTCGCTCGATCGGTGTAGTTCGCTTGCAGACTAAAATCACGGAGTAAAAAAAAAATGTGTGAAAGAAAGACTTGCAGAGATCAGAGTTAGATTTAGTATTAATGGGTTCCTTGACTTTGTCCATCTTCCTAGTATTGTTGTTCCAAATAGATCAGAATCTTATGGAAACTGGATTTGTTTCTGTCCTCAAGTGGAAAGATGAGGAGGCACATACTCAATCAGGTCTGTCATACCTAGCTACTGGTTTCCCACCATGGAGGGATTTGTGGTGAACAAAGTGGCACTGGGGCAGGTTTTCTCCAAGTCCTTCGGTTTCCATGCCAATTCACATTTCATCGATTGCTTCACAATCATCATCATCTATCATCTGGGGCTGGTGCCATGGGCCAAACAGTGGCAACGGTACCAAGTAGACTCAGTCTCACCCTATGAGAAAAATATTAAAAAATACATAGATCTGGCTAATCTCAATAAATGGGGATAAACTTAATCCAGAAGATGTAACTGGGTGGGATATTTTCTACTTTATCACACGAAGAAAAAAACACCTCAGTTTCCAGAATGCTCTGTTCTGTTTGGAACAACAAGTTGATGGACAAAGTACAGAAATCCAGTATTACTGATTGTAATACATAATTATAAAGCCTTTAGAATTGACTTAAACAAATGTAAGTTATATTTAGATTATGGATGATTTCTGCACGTGGACCCCATTGGGAATCCAAGATTTTCAAGGACTGTGTTTAAGAATATATTCATCTTAAAACATATTGGTTGGTTCAGTAGTTCAAGTGTAAATATGTAACATAAACTCTGTATCACAGGCTGGTAACAATTGTATCAAGGTCACAACTCCCCTGTAGTCATAACTGCCCATCCCTGAAATTAGATGTAAGTTAGTGAAGAAACTAATGACTCACTTCCTTTAACTGTGAAGTGGCCTTCTTGAATTAGGTAACAGAATTTTCTCCTCAACAGATGTAATGGATGCCACAGTGATACTTTGTTACAAATGAGTACAATGTATCTAAAGAATATGGACTTCACTTACTGGAGAGGAGTACATGAAACCTAGGAAAATATTATTGGTGTATCACTTATACACTGAAAGTTGGAAAGACTGGAGGGAAATTCTTGTTTCTTCTATGCTATGAGAAGGAAACAAAGGGAGAACAATGGGTTTTCTATCAAAAACTTCAAAGCGCTCTTCTTTGCTGATTAATTTCAGATATATGCATAAGTATATAAAAAAACATTACATGTATATAAATTCCTGCTTTCTGAACAGGTACATATGAGAAGGTAGAAGAGGAGGAAGAAGAAATTTATGAGGTCATCAACGTGCACAAACTAAAGTCTGCAACTCCTAACCTGAGAGTCATCAACCTATTTGGCATAAACTTTGTAGACGATAGCCACATTGAAGCCTTCAGTTCCAACTGTATTCAGGTAAAATAAAATAAAATAAAAATTTTTAACAGAATCAAGATGAAAGTTACTTTGAAATACATTTAACAGCATACCCTTACTGGCTTTCATATTTGTCACTCTAGCTATCTGAACACACTGAATAACGTTTCTGACCATAAACTAATTCTGATGAAATTCAGTTTTGGTTCACACTGATATCTAACGACAGTAACCACAAATTTATATTAAGGCCTAAATATAATGTTATGCATGTGGGGCATAGAATAAGTTCCTGGACTTTATATTGCATTTTGTAAATATGTTGTAAGAGTTTTGTTGCATCCATAAACACCCTCCAATTCTTAATAACTTTTTCATTGCTATAAGATATTCTTCCATGTTAAGTGGAAAATTTTATCACCATAGCATTGCACAGCATCAGGTTGCAGATGGAAGAGACAGCCTCCAGATATGGAGGGTAGCTCCTAATATACAAAAAAAGCAGTCGTGGACAGCCATCAAGGGATGGTCCTCCAGTTTGGGGGTTGGCGGAGTGCCTAACAACTCCTCACCATATAAAATAAGCTTGTTACAAAATGTCACAAAGGGTCTCTGATTTGGATTGATTCCTTGGGTAAATAACCTAAGTGGAAGAAAATTGATATGAGATTTGGTCCTTGGAATGTTAAATGTATGTATAGGGCAGGTGCACTCAGGGCAGCAGCAGAAGAAATCTCAAAATATAAGTTGGATTTAGTAGGAGTACAGAAGGTCAGATGGGACGGAGGTAGCACCGAATCAGCAGGCAAATATACATTTTTGTATGGAAAGGGGAATAAGAATAATGAATTGGATACAGTTTTTTTTTTTTGTATAAAAGAGAATCATATCGGCAGTTAAGTGGGTAGAGTTTGCTAGTGATGGACGTCATACATAATACTAAGAGGTTGCTGGTGTGATATTATTCTGAATATTCATGCCCCAAACAGGAGATAAAATTTATGATATGAAGGACAGGTTCTACAAAGAACTAGAACATGTATACGATAAATTCCCTAAGTACCACATGAAAATTTTGTTAGGAGATTTCAATGCCCAAGTAGGTAGAGAAGACATCTTCAAACCAACAATTGGGAATGAGAGCTTACACAAAATTAGTAATGATAATGGAGTTAGAGTAGTAAACTTTGCCCCATCCAAAAAAAACTTACTGTCAAAAGTATGATGTTCCCACATCATAACATTCATAAATTTACTTGGACATCTCCTGATGGGAAGACACACAACCAAATTGACCATATTTTGATAGATAGGAGATCGCACTCAAGTATATTTTATGTCTGATCATTCAGGGTAGCAGATTGTCATACTGGTCACTGTCTGGTGGTGGCAAATGCTAGGGAGAGACTAGCAATGAGTAAACAAACAATGCACAGAATTCAAATGCAGAGGTTCGATCTGAAGAAATTAAATGAGTTAGAGGGTAAAGAGAAGTATTGGGTTGAAATCTCAAATAGGTTTGCAGTTTTGGAAAACTTAGACACTGAGGTGGATATTAATAAAACTTCGGGAAACTATTAGAGAAAGTACAAAAATTTCATAATGTACACAACAGGATGCAAAAAATAAAGAATGCCGGAAGCAGTGTCATCAGCAGCGACTTGAAGCACAGAGCAAATGATGCTCAAGATGGTTCAAGTTGGTATAGCAACAGACGTGACCAGAGTGGTTTGAATGGCTGTTGTACTGCGATGTGGAAAGCAAATGGAAAAACTACCACATTATTACTTTTCCTGGATAGTCTCTTTAGAAAAACAGAGGTACCATGTAAGCGAGATGTTTCCTCTGGAGACAAAACAAACTGGAGGGGTGGACAGAAGTGACCAGAAGACAAGGAAGAAGACGTAAGAAGATGCTGGATGACCTTGGGGACAGAAGCGGATATTCTTATTTGAAGGAGAAGTCTCGAGATCGCATTAAGTGGAGGAACTGTTTTGGAAGAGACTGTGGACCTGTAATCTGACAGATTACTAATGAATGAATGAATAATATAATATAAACTGAAGAAGCATAATCCATGATTCAATGAAGATTGCAGAAAATTATTAGATCAAAGGAAATAAACCAAATTACAGTGGTTAGAGGATCCAAGCCAGGTATGTGGGGATAATCTGTACAATGTAAGATGTAAAGCCAACAGGAATTTCAAGAAAAAAGAGGGAATATCTGGAAGACAAAATTAGTGAGCTTGCAACGAACAGTAGGAACAATTAAAACATTAAAGTGAAATAGGTATTCCTTGAAACATTGAAATTATTGCATGATTTTCAGTTTTCATTACATTATCAATTTTGGGACATAAAATGAGATGCTCTTTAGATGCACCATTATATTCCATTGGAATTATGATGATTAGAATTTGCATGAGAAATAAATAATTCCTTACCAGAGAAAGCATCCACAAGCATAGAAGACTAAAGAATAGTTCAGAATAAAGTATGATTTCGCATTAACTTTATTCTTTCAAATCTGACATGAACTATGTGTCTCGACAGCTGGAATGTCTGGCAGTGAACTTCTGTGCTAAAGTCAATGGATCAAGTTTAAAGTCATTGCTTCAGAGGAGTAGACGACTAAGGTGCCTTTTGATGAATCAGACAAGTAAGTAATGTTCCCATGTTTATTATGGGAAATGGTGGTTGCTAAATTTTGTCAGTTTACAGCATCCTTCATGATGCATTGTAACAGTGTTGTAAAAGATGGGTAATTCGAGAATAGGGTTGCAGGCCCACAAATTTTACTGGGATCATGACAAAACTTACAGAGTACATTAAGGTTTAACATTCATGACAGTGGGAAACATCTTCAAAGCTCCTGCTTTCCAGTTCTTATACAGTCTGTGCACTCAGTTTGCAGATGTCCAAGGAATGGGGGTGTGGGCATAGATGTAGCAGGTATGAATGGAGGGGGAGACACACATACTCATGGAATTGTAGGAACCCAGCAGTCAACAAATCCACTAATCTGCTTGTCCATGATGAGCAAAAGATCAAGGCTGATGAGAAGAAAAATCTTTAATTTGTTCATTAATATTTTCTTTCATGCTCTAATTCATTTTCCCACAAATAAGAGGTAAAGTTATCCCTGTAACAGGCTGTAAAGGCCCATAGGGTTCTGAGAGGTTGAAGCTCCCACATCTTCTAGACAATCGGCTCACAGATGACTATAAGAGTTGTCAGCCTTACGTGCCGGCCACCTTTTACTCCCCAGGAAGATTCCTGATACTGATTTCTGTTAGAGGATGAGTCGACCCCAGAGCAACAGTGCAGCTGGCAGGATTAGGTAAATTGAAAAAATTCTGGCTTGTAGCATAGTGCCTCAACCAACTATGCTACTGCATACCCTTCACATATCATGTAATATAGAACAGTATTTTATGTCTTTTATGTTATGTGACGGTAAGTAGACTGGTGCAGAGCAATTATAGTGGTGTGGTTAAGCACAGTTTTTAGTGAACTAAGCTAATAATTATTGACCCATATTGACATGTAAGCCTATATTTTCTTACACAACAAGGTAAGAAGACTAAAAATATAAACCATAAGTTTGAGAAGTATGAAATAATGAATTGACTGAGCAAATGAATGAGTGATTTGCTGGTACAGGAACTTCACCATGTTGTCAGTAATTACTGAAATCTTATAATCCCCAGTTTTATTGAATCTAGAGGTTCCTTATTATCAGATCAGAACTTTATCAATAGATCCTGTCTTCAGTCAGTCTGTCTATAAATTGTTTCTTTCTTTGGATTTTGCAACAAAAGGCTATTGACCTCCCCTTTCTCTCAGTTTCACTTCCAAATTTTTATAACTCTGAATTTGTATTCAGGTAGCTGAAAATCCTATACTGAGAGCTTGTTTTGTTGTTTCAGATCTTATCAGTGAGCATGTGATGCAGGTGGAATGGGAGAAGACATCACTGCAAGAGCTGGACATTACTGCAACAGACCTAAGCACAGAATGTCTTATTGACATGCTGACACGTATCCCCAACTTGCGATTCTTATCAGCAGGCCAACTTAATGGTTTCAATGACTCAGTGAGTACATGCTGCAGACCAAAAATGATGTGGGATGTATCCTTGGAGCTTCCTTTATGACCATGATTTTCTATGTATGAGTACTATGTATGCATGTATTTTGATACTAATATTGAGCTTTAACTTAGCGCTACCAGCAAATGTAGAAATGTATGCATGAGAGTACTTACTTATAAAATTTGAAGAAAAAAAAAATCAGTATAACCCTCCCTTCTTTGCTATTTCAAAGTATATTGATATCAACAGATTATTTCATCTCTTTTTGTAATTTCAGTCGGTAGGCATGAAAATTAAAACTGAACACGAATACTTTGTAGCCTGCTTTCCTTACTTTATATGGAAAGAAAAACTTATGGCACCAGTATGTCCACACATCCTTCTGTGCTAGGAACTAGTCTGCACACTTACTTCATATGACTTTAAAATCCATTTTAATATCTTCCTGTATGTACTGGTCTCACAAGTGGTCTCTTCTCTTCACGTTTTCATACCAAATTTTTTATGTACATCTTATGCTTCCCATATATTCTACAAGTCCTGCTCATCTTCTCCTCTTAGACTTGTTCAATCCTGTAATATCTCATGAAGCACATAAAATATGAAGCTTCTTGTTATGCAGGTTTCTTGAACTCTCTGTACTTCCTCTCTTTTAGGTTTGAATATTTTCCTTGATACCTTATTTTCAAACAGCGATGTGTGAGAGATCAACCTTCATAATTACACAAAGCAACTGGAAAATTTATAGTTTTATGTATTTTAACTTTTATATTTGTAGACAGAGAATGGGAACGCAACAGATTCTGAACTGAGTGGTTGCAAGAATTCCTTGAATTTAATCTGCTCTTATTTTCTTTGTGATTCTAATTTTGATTTGTAACTGTCATTCCAAGAGATTTTAACTCTACTACAGTTTCAGAGGATTTATTAACTCTTTCTAAAATGATTCTCTCTCACTACTGAAAACATGAGCATATACTTAGCTTTCTAAGTGTTTCTTTCTAGACCACACCCCTTCCTAGCATCTAACAGAGCCACTGGATTTTGTTTACAGTATTTATATTCTCATGCAATAAATTAATATCACCAGTATAGACCAGAATTTGATCTGTACCCATTCAGTTCCACCCCTCTGCTGTTCTTGTACCTTCCCAGCAGCATAATCTGAACCAATTCTAAAAAGCCATGACAATAAAGCATCTCCTTTTTTTGAACCATTCTAAATATAAAATTCATCAGACAAATGTTTTCCTTCAAGGACTTCACTGTTGGTATTATTTAAACACATTTTAATTAGACTAATTAGTTTCATGAGCATACTGAATTCAGTGAGCATTTTAGAAATTTCAGCCTGATGATATAAATATACAATTGCCTGTTGTCAGATTAATGACATGAAAAGGAGTCATGGATAATATTTTCTGGAATATGTCATATTTTTGTGAGTGGAATGTGTGTAATATATTACTAATACCATACCTGTAACTTTTTCAGACCGAATGTTTGATACAATATGATACCTCTTGAGTATTGCAAACTGTAAGCTATAGGAAATAAACACTAACCCTACCAGATGCTGATGAACATTTAAAACAGATGGACATTTTGAAGATAGAATACTGAAGTAATTAATCCTTATGTTGGCTTCATACAGTACCTCATTAATTTTCCACTGAGGTATGTATCTGTTTGTGGATGTGTATGTTTGATAGGATGTGCCTGTATATTGTATGGTTGACATAATGTTGCTATCAGTGAGGACCGCATATATTGATGTGAGTATTATGTATAATTTGTCAACAGAATGCACAGAGCCTGTCTATTGCCTGTTTGGCAGATCAGTCAATTGGTTTCAAATTCCTGACTTTTGTCTCCTGCTTACAATGCCATACAATCTGGCAACTGCGTGTCCACACATGTACCAACTTGCTTAATAATGTTATATACATGTAGGTGTATATTACTTTTGAAAGAAAACATGCTGATAACATGTTTTGAGTTTCAGAAAAGGGAATAAAGCTCAATTTTTAGTGTTGGCAAGTTATCTCAGTGGTCTCTTCATTTTTAAAACATGGGAATAGAAAGTTAAATTATTCCTATGATTAGCATGTCAGAATGAGGCTGTGAAAGAAAACCTTCACGCATTCTTAGTCTTGTTAAGTGGATCAAGTTGGGTTGTCAGCTTCATGCTTCAGCCATATTCATCTTCAAGTAAGAGCTCTCACTACTTTCTAGATGTGGGACTGAGAGCCATGGTATTAAAAACAATAATGGTGATCCACCTGCCAGGAGTTAAACTTTAACCATTGCATTAATAATCCATTACTTGGCTAAGCTGCCACAGACTCCACATTATATAAAAAGTAAAGAAACTGCCATTCTTTTTTTACTAATCTGGCCTTATTTCAGACAGGAATTTAGAAACTGTTTTCAGCGTGAAAAATTCTTTTACTTACATGTAGTTGTTGCTTGTGTGTAGGTGCTTAAAGCCTTCATGGAACTAGGAAATCCCAAGAACCTGATAGCACTGGATGTTGACAGTTCAGACAATCTGACTGATGATGCCCTGCATAAGTTTCTGTCTCGCTATGGTCATCAGCTGTGGGGAATTGCTTTGTCTGGTATGCCACACATCACAGACCAGCTGTGGCAGTCAGTTCTACCTGTTTTCAACAATGCTAAGTGAGTGCCAATTATCTGTCTGAAACAAAGAACATAAACTGTATTTGCAACATTAGGTTTTCAGTGTACTGTGTATAAATTGACAGTAGTCACAATGGTCAATGTTTATTTTTCTTCAAAATTCTTAAATCTATTTGGCAAGGATACCAAGAACTAAAAATTAATAATCATATGATTTAATGATTCATTTACATGTGTTATTTCTGCCAGTACATATTCTAGCTACATTAAATTTTTCTGATATAAATCGGAGTTTCACATGTTTATGGTTGATGATATAAGAAATATTTCATATAAAATTTGTAGGAATGTTTATTATCAGTTTCCATACAAAATTTCACAATCTTATGAGTACACCAGTGATTCATTACTTATCACAATAAAATAAAGAGCTAAATATATATTTTGTGTGGCCTTCAGATTGCTATTTTACATTATACATACACACACAAACATGACAAATGCACATGTTTTTCAAACCACTAGTATCAGACAATATTTCACAATATTATGCTAGCATGTTAGTATTAGCATTAGTGCCTCTTCCACTTCACAAGATTCCAAGGTCACCATGTTGATATTATTGATGGCAAGAAATTATAATACAGAAAAGTTAAATATTTTTGTTGATGTGATGTTCATACTGTTTTGTCACTGTGTCACTTGGATTAACATTAAACATGGTGGAAACACACAGTGATACCATAGGAAATAGGGTGTGGTGGGGAACATATGTTGGCCAGAATTTCATAGAGATCTAGGTGAGCTAAGGAAATGAATTATAAAATTGTTGCCAAAACAAGCACTATCATGACTGGTATGGAACATAGTTGTTCTCTGATTGACAAGTACAGTTTGGAGAGATGAGATTCTTTCTCTTGTGACTACAAGGGGAAGATGCACATAGCAATGACAGCTGACATCAAAACTGTTTCACTTTTAGTTTAGCATATTTACTAATTTAGTTTGCACTTGTACATTTGTCACCACGGATATTACATTATGGTGTTTTAATTTCTGAAATGGAAGTGGATGTACTTTACATAAATTTAAATTTAAACTTTAGGAAAAAGAAGTTGTAAAATTATGTATACAAGTGGAACTGCTGAGAACACATCTGCTTTCTAAGAATTCCTAAACGCCAGTCTTCAAGCCATTTATATCTGTGTCGCGTCCCTCTTTCAAAAACTGAGAAATCCTGTAACATCGGATGCTGATACAAATCTCTCATTAGCCACTGACTTACCTAAACACATCTCCTTCATGCCTTGGATTGAATGCAAGTGCTACTGCTCAACTAATGGAAACTGTATAGTTCCAGATCTCAACAGATTTTCAGCACATGGATGCACTTATCTCTGACCTCAGTTCTGTCATGAAGATGTCAAGCTGTGAGGGCACTGAATGGACTATTAAAGTCAAAGTCCATCTATGTGGGAACCAGAGTAGGGTATATCAGAACCCGACATCAAATTTGTTGACTTATTCATATTAAACTGAATGAAAACTTGTTTCTAACGCATAATTGATACGTTTATTTGCCGATTCATACAGGATTTTGGTCATGGGTACACAGGAGCGCCTTGGTGTGAATATCCATGTAGATCAGCTGATGGATGGGATTGCCAACAATTGCCCAAATCTGCAGCGCTTGGAGCTTCGCTGGGATCCTGAAAATCTCCGCTTTTCTGATAAAAGCCAAAAAGCCATTGATATCCTGAGAGTCAAGTGTCTAAAGCTGAGATGCCTTGTTCTAAGGTAATCTGCTTAAACCATTGTTTTAATTTTTCATCTTCCTTTAATTGATCATTTCAGTTATACTGGTCGTGGAGTACAAGTTATGCACCTCCTCATTATGCAGAGTTCTTCAACCTCCTGCCACCTCACTCCTCATCAGCCCAAAAATTCCCCTCAGCACCCTGTTCTCAAACATCCTCAGTCTATGTTCCTCCCTTTATGTCACAGACCAAGTCTGGCAACCATACAAAACAAGAAGCAAAATTATAGTCTTGTAAAGTCTAATTTTTACGTTTTTAAGCAGCAGGTGAGAAGACAGAAACTTCATTCTGCACTAAATGGTAGCAAGCATTACCTGAATTCAGTCTCCTCTTTTAACTATCTCTTCAATCAAATTTTGATCTGTTACTGTCATTCTCAAACATTTGAATGTGGCACATTTTCAGAGGACCTGTTAGCTATATTTATATCATGATTTTGTCCTGCTTCCTGGTGATAAGACAGCAATATATGCTTCTTTTTTTCTGTGTTTACTTCTAGATCAACCTCCTTACTAGTGTCAATTAGAAATTCTGTGTTTTTCTTTATGGCACCTATGTTGTCTCCCAGTAGATCCACATCATCAGCAAAGACCAGCAGGTGATGTGTCCCATTTAATTTCAGTCCAACCTGGTTTTCCTGGACCTTCCCCAATGACGCATTCTAAAGCAAAGTTGAAAAGATGTGACAATGAAGCACCTTCTTGTTTTAGACCATTTCGGATAGGAAAATTATCAAACAAATGTTTACCTATATAGACTTTACTATATGTTCCATTTAAACACATTTTAACCAATCTAGCTTCATGGGTTAACCAAACTCTATGAGAATATCATACAATACTTCCCTCCTAACTGATTCATAGGCTTTCTTGAAGTCTATGAATATCTGATGTACTAACTGTACTTCAATTTTTCTTCAGTATCTAACGAATGCAAAAAAATCTAATCAGTAGTTGATCTGATATGTGAAAACCCACACTTACTGTCTGTTGGAAGCTAATTAATTTTGTCTTTCAAATATTCCCTTTTTTAATCCTGAAATGGCTGTTGGTTTCAGGTCTTATATTTTTCAGATTATCCCCATTTATTTGGCTTGGATCCTGTAACCACTGCAATTTTTGCTTGTATCCTTTGATGTAATAACCTTGAGCATCATTTGTCAAATCATGGCTTATGCTTCTTCAGTTCATAATAACCTAGACTCCATTTGGCTAAAAATTTTATATTCTAACAGTTTCCCTAGTTCTGTTAATACTGACCTCAGTGTCTAAGTGTTCCAAAGCTGAGAACCTATTTGAAATTTCAGCAAGATACTGCTCTTTACTCTCTACCTCATTTAATTTCTTGAGACTGATCCTCTCCATATGAAATCTGTGAGTTGTTTGTCTGCTCAATGCCAGTCTCTCCCTAAATTTGTCACAACCAGATAGTGGTCAGTATCACAATTCATCTCCCTGAATGATCGGATGTCAAGTACACTTGAATGCCATCTCCTGTCTATCAAAATATAGCCAATTTGATTATGAGTCTTTCCTTCAGGAGATGTCCAAGTAAATTTATGAATGTCAAGATGTGGGAACATGGAACTTTTCACAAGTCAGCTTTTTGGATGTGGCAAAGTTTACTACTCTAATTCCATTATCATTATTAATTTCATGCAAACTCTCATTCCCAAGGTTGAATTGAAAATGTCTCCCTTGCCTACTTTGGCACTTAAATCTTCTAAAAAATCATATAATATTTAGGGAATTTATCAAATAAATGCCCTAGTTTTTCATAGAAGCTCCCTTTCATGTCATCAATTTTCTCCTCTGCGGGGCATGAACGTTCGGAAAATTGATATCACACCAGAGACCTTTCAGTATTATGTACAACACACTATCACTAAGAAACTTTGCCCTCTTAACTGCTGATATGATTCTCTTACATACAAAAGAACCTGTACCTAATTCATGATTATAATCCCCCTTTCCATGGAACAAAATATATTTGCCTGTTGGTTCCTTGCTACCTCTGCCCATCTGACCTCCTCTACTCCCACTGGAAAATTCTGCCCTTGTTTTCAAATCTCTGAATGAAAATTTGAAGAGAAAATAAAAATGAATACAAAGTTATATTTTCACTGGCCGCACCACAGCTCAAGCAGTTAGTTGCTGGCTTCCCACCGCTGCGGCCCAGGTTCGATCCTGGGTCTGGTCAAGTGGGATTTGTGGTGGCCAAAGTGGCCCTGGGGTGGGTTTTCTCTGAGTACTTCGGTTTCCCCTACCAATCTTCATTCCACCAAATTCTCCATCATCATAATCACCTGGGGCAGGCTACAATAGACCACTCAGTGGCCAAATGGACCCAGTTGGGCTCCACCCACCACTAGAGGAATTAAAAAAATATATTTTCACACTCCTTTTGAAGAAAAACTGTTGCTGAATGTTTGGTATTGGTCACAGGATGCTTGGAAATATACAACAATGAGAAACTAATGATGATGAATATACAGATACTCAAGAACTGAATTTTAAATAAACACACACCACTTTTTTTCCAGTGAGAAGAGCTTTATTTACTAGTTTGATCCTGAAATTATAACTTATTAAAGCAGTTTTGACTGCCTCAAAGTGTTGATCTCATTTTATCATCTAACACATTTCTTTTTCAGTGATGGGCGGTACTATGAGACAACTAAAGCCAACTTTGAAAGAGCTGATCGTACAACTGTGGTCAGAACTACAACAAACTGTCGTGTGTCTAACTACTATCTCCTCTCAAACTACAGGGATCTGATATTCAACTAAGAATTTTAACTCTACTAAAAATATGTAATTGTTATTCAGTAGAACAGAGTGGCCTATACCAAATTTTTAGTACTTCTACATCTGTACTGAAGAGAAAACTGCTGGATAATGGAATTCTTTCTGGATTACAATCATGTGCTGGTTTAAAAATGGCAATAACATGAAAAACAAAAGCTATTTTTTGTTTCTGTGTCCTTTAAATTGCTGCCAAATATCTGAATTAAGAGAGGTCAAAACAATGGAGAATATTCTTTGCTTTTGTAACTTGAAATATCAAACCTCATACTCCTACATAGTAAAAATAATTTCATAAAAGACCGGAATACGATAAATGCATCAACCCTCCAGTCAAACTACACCTCTCAGAAAGCATAATGTTTTGTAGGTGGCAAAGTTCTATGAAGGAGTATTTTTAGAATATTATTTGTTACCAGTTTTTTTCTGCCATGGAAATAATGTTTTAGGTAACACTGATAGCATTCGTTTCATCTAATAGTTATAAATGGCAAAACATGATGTCTGACATTTAAACAATTGGACTGACATCTCTGTGACAACACTGTTGAGTTTGTGCATGTTGGATCAAGCAAGTATATACTTCTGTGTCAAACATTTTTTTGGGACACGCCTTGTTTAGAGTTTGCAGTAGGGGCTTCATTTTTTGTCAGAAATATGGATGGTATGACAAAATTTCTCACTCCTTTCTCTAAGATTTGTTGGAAGAATTTAACCTTTTGGAAGAAAAATGAAGTGACTGTGAAACTTGAATCACAGGAAATTCCAGAATCTCAGTGACAGAAATATATACAAAAATTAAAGTGATAATTTGAAGCTAAAATCATGCTGATTCACTACTCTGATATCAAAGGAATTACTTATTATGAATCTGTTCCTATAAAGCAGTTAAGTTAGCATTCTGGAACGTTCACGATTGTGAAACTGTTGGAAAGTACCAAATCTTTGCTTAAGAATGGGATTTTGTATCATGATAATGCATCTACCTATGCAGAACTTTTGAGTAAAATAAGTTTTGGTAAAAAACAAGTGCATTTTGCTTCATCATACTGCATCTTTTCACACAGTTCCTTCAGTATAATGACTGTGGCCAAAAACAAGCATATTTTGAATCAGAAAAATGCACCTTCCCACATGACAATTACAGTAAAACGATTTTTGGCTAGAAACAAGTACCTGTGTTGAAACATTTATCATAATCATTTGATTTTGTCACATGTGACTTCTTCAGATTCTCATATCTAAAAACCTCCTTGAAATGTTATCATTTGAATTGCCTGAAGGCATGAAGAGCAACTTGACAAGAGTACTAAAAGGATTTTCAGAAAATTATATCCAGCATTGTTTCCACACATGACATAGATGCTGCAATGGTTGCCTAAGGTTATGACCAGGCCCAGATTTTGATGACCTGAGAATATTTAAAAAATGACCTATAAAATGACCCAAAAAATCCAGAAAATTGACCTAAAATATGACCAAAATATGCAGTATGTCAGAATATCTACTAATTATTTTAAAATGTATTTTTGATCTTTATTAACACTGAAATTATCTTTAATCTTTTAAGTTCGTCCTCGATTTTATGTTGAAAATTAAGCAATATTGATTGAATTTGAAGTTAAATGTTTTAATACGATTTTTTTCTATCGTTTTAGAACGCTTATCAAATGTATATATATGGTATGTATTCTGACATTTAAGTCTTACCTCACTCATAGTTGCAATAGATTACAGTCAACATGCAGAGATTCTCGAAAGTGAGAGAGCGCCTATTGTCCGACAGCACATTCTTGTACTTGGAGAAACTCCTTTCCACATCTGCAGACACAATGGGAGCATACTCGAAATGTACCATATCACTAGCAGTAAGTTCTTCTTCAATACTGAAAGCTGAAGGACTCTCCTGACAGAATTCGAGAAATGCTGCATAATGTTTTATAACCTGAGTTTTTATCCAGAACACTTTTCATTTTTCTTGACACAATTTTACCCATGTCCCCTGACACTTTCTCCAAATCATTGGCTATTTTTTTCGCCAGAGCGAACAAATCTTCTAGTGTTGCTCCTTTCTCCTGCAAGCATTTGATTCCTTCAGCCAAGGAACTGAAATTTGCCTTTATGAAGGCCAACTGCCCTTCCATTTCAATTCACGGGAACTGCTCCTGAGCAGCTTCAATTGTCCTCACATCCTCCATCTTCATTGAATCTACAATGTTTTTCACTACCTGAAAATGATCGCAATAGTAAACTGCAGCATCAATCCACGTTCCCTGCCTTGTAATGACGGGTTCCGGGGGCAGTGGAACACCAGGAGCCATAGACTTAAAATGCATTTTATGAGCTGGAACCTTGACGAAAATCTTTGTCCTTGACACGAGAGTGTCCACTTGAGGAAATTTTGATCTCACTTCCTCCATCACTCTATGCAGTGCATGTGCTAGGCAAGTAATGTGCACCAATTTCGTATAAAACGACTTTATTGACTTGCCTGCTTTTACAATATATGGGGCTGCATCGGTCACAAAAAGCAAGATGTCGTGTCGTATACCCTCTGGCCACAGTAGAAACATCGACCTGTCAAAGGTTTACAAATTGTAGAATGATTAATGGATTCTGCACCTCACTCATAAGCAGAAACACTTCACCTGGTCCGCCAAATTCCAAGGTTCCAATGATGACGTTTGCCATGTAGTGAGCCTCTGTATCTCAGGTCTCATCAATGGAAACGAAAATCTTCCCATGCACTTTATTCCTAATCATTTCCAGGATACTGTTGTAGCACTGGGAAAGGTAGTTCTTCCTGAGTGTGGATTCATCCGGGAAGGAAAGCCCACACTTCACTTTCAGAAATTTTTTCAGTTTTCCATTGTTCAGAGCCCAAAACGGAATATTTGTGGATGCCAAAGCATCACACAGATCTCTGAAAAAATCCGATGACTTATTTCCACCTCCAGATGAACACTGTTGCAGTAACATTTGCACAGGTTTCTTTTTGTTCGAAATTTGCACTGCTTGTATATGGTTGTCGTGGCCAATATGTTGTACCGTGAATCTTTTTTCTGCCGCTACTTTTGTGTCACACATCTTGCAGTATAAAATGTCACCGTCAGTTGAAAATATACCATCTCCAAACTCAGCTACAAATTGCTTTAAGTGACTCGATTTAGTTGGCTTTGCTTTTGGAATCGTGATAAAATTAATCACTCTGGTGCAACACAGAACTGAACCTTTCTCACCAAGAACCTTTCGTCAACTGTATCTTTATCTGTATGGTCAAGGGCGAGGAACTGAAGACAGAAGGAGTTTTATTGAACAACAATGTCATATGAAGCAAGAGATTCCTACTAGAAATATGTGTAAGTAAGCAAATTACTTCGTACAAAGAGCTGCAGTGTGAGTAGTCGTCACCGTACCGTTTTATGATATGTGTGGTCAGCACTTCTGTGAAACGAATGGAAAGGACAGGCCAGGATTACAACCTATTACTGTTTACTATGACCTTTGTAGAGAGCTCTTAGGAGAGAGAAGGAACACTTTGCTTCCATATTATTCACATTTCAGAAAACTTATGAAGAAAAATTCCCTAAAATGCCCAAAAATGACAAGAAATACCCTTAAAAGATAAAAAAATTTCCCCCCAAATGAAAAAATGACCTTAAACCTAAAAATGTAAAAAAGGACAAAAAATTACCTATAAAATTTACATTTCTGTAACCAGCAGCTCATATCCAAGATTTATATATTTAAGAGCATCACATAGGATAAAAGGGAAAAAAGATGACATGTCATCAAAATCTTGGCCCTGGTTATGACACTCACTAAATACAGCAACTATGACTGTATTTATTTTACTGACAGGATTTTTCAGGAAGATTACTCTGATGCTGTCAGCTGGTGAAGGTTTACTGCACTACTGAAGTAACTAATTGCATTACATACAGTAGAATGCCAAATCCTACAGTATTCCTATGTTCCTTAAAGGACTGAAATTAGTAAGAGACTTATATTAATAGATTTCACATATATATGAACTTCACTCAGATGTTAAATTAAGCATATGTAAGCATAAAAGATTATTGCCAGTCCTGAACTGAAACAGAGATAATCTCCATCTTGTCCTCACAGACACTCTCCTTTGTTGTCCTGTATTCTCTGAATTGCCTTAATCACACCAGTGTTGAACAGCACAGAGATAGGGGATTATTTTCAAGTACTTTGCTCATTTGCTTGACTGCAGAGGTTGTCACTTATCTTGACATGGTTGACTGTCAATATGCTCTTGATTATGTGGTTCTCAGCCTTACTACAGCCAGATATCATTTCCAATTTTATTATCATGACTCAGTCAAACAGGACAAAAACCTTGGTGAAGCATAGGGAGAGACTATAAAATCCGCCTTTAGGCTTCCACAGTGCATACTGTGTAACATGTAGAAGGTTTTCAATTGCATGCAGAGTGGATTGATCTGTCTGAAACTAAAATATTTTTTCAGGTAAGTAATATGTATGTAAAAAGTGCATATCTGTGTTAGTCTACATGTCACGGCCCATTTGAATTAGCAAGGAAAAGAAAATATACTGATATATGAATAATATAAACAAAGACGCATTGGAAAGGCTTATCCATATATCTGTGAAAACTAAAAAGTCTAAAATTATACTTGTACTTCATTAAAAGTTGAGCAATAGGAACACACAATGTGGGAACTAAATTATGGTACCTGGGTAAAGAATCCACAAAGGAAATTTCAATTACAATAGAATGATATGTATTGTGAATCTTGAGTGAAATGCCTGGTTACTTAAAACTATTAAAAAATTTTAAATCCAATTAAAATCATAAGTTCTACAGTTGAGTATAATCCTAAATAATATTATGACATAGCCTAAATCAAGGAAATTTATATAGGCACATTTTATTCACTCACAGAATATCATAAATTAAATAGGGAAAACATTAATTATGGAAAGTTAATTACTATGTGGAGGGGACTGCTGAATGTACACTGTTGCTGTTACATCAACAACACGTATTCAAAAGAATTCATCCTCACCTAGAACCCAGATCTTTCACATTAATATTTCATAGCAATGAAAATAGTATATATTTTATTAAATTTCTTAGATTTCCCACTGCAAAATTCTTACCTTTGAATTTATACTATAAGGACCATTCAGAATGTAACCTCCAGTGAGCTGTAAACAAAACAAGCAACGAGAAAGAAAATGTGATATACAAAGAAAAAAGTACATACTTAAGCTATGTCTCAACATAGTCACTGCCGGAATTGAAGCACTAGTCATAACAGGGAACAAGTTTTTGTATGCCTGTGTTAAAGAAGTCTTCTGCCTGTGAGCTCAGCCACGTTTTGACACCTTCCATAAATTCCTCATTACTGTTGAAGCGCTGTGATCATAACCAGTTCTTCAGGTAGATAAACAGGTGGTAGTCCCTCAGAGCAGGAACAGGGCTGTGAGGAAGGTGGTCAAACAACTCACAGTTGAAATGCTGCAGCAGTGCTTCAGTGTGAGCAACTGTATTCAGACACAACATTTTCATGGAGGAGCACTACACTGGGTGCCAGAATTCCATGCTTGAATGGCCTTATGCTGTTTTTCTTTGCAATACACTTCTGACATTATTGTGGTCTCTTGTTGCATGAATTCCAGTATCATCACTTCTTTTCTGTCCCAGAAAACAGTTATCATCAGCTTTCTGGCTGGCAGAGGTTTGTTTAAACTTCTTCAGCTTGTCCTGTGAATACGTGTGCATCCACTGCTTTGAGGTCGCTTTGGTTTCAACATTCAAAAATGGAACTCGGTTTTCATCACCTATTACTCGTATGGTGTGACTGAGAAATTCACCACCATCTCTGTAGTATTGTTCTAAAAAGGGTCAAAGCCATTCCTTGCGTTTTGTGCATACCCGTGAGCATTTTCTGAATCCATCTTGCACAAAACTTGTGATAGCCTAGCCTAACTGTGATAAGCTCATAGAGAACATTGCATGAAATTTGTGGGAATTCACACAAAAGCTCTGAAAATGTAAAGCACTGTCTTTCACAACTTTTTGTCCACATTTTGAACAAGATCATCACTCAGTACAGAGGACTGACCACGTCGTTCTTCATCACGAACATATGTTCACCTATCTTAGAACATTCTACACCATTGTCTTCCTTCACTCATTACAGTCTGGTCATAAACCACCATGCATAATTCACGATGGATTTCCACAGCACTCATGTTTTAGCATGAAGGAAGCTGATAAGAGTGTGAATTCCATAGCTGGCAGGATTATCAATTGCAGGACACATCATAACTCAATCTGTAGAGAGAAGCACAAACATTAGGTGACTGGTTATATGATGTTTTACAAGGTAATGAGTCATGTGCAAGCTCTCCTTGCTTCTACATTAGTTGCCTGAAATAAACAGAGGTTACTTACTGAATATCCCTTGTATTTTATCTTTTGGCTGTTTGCTTTTGTAATCAGTTTATGTAATAAGCAATAAGTGACACTGGAACTGTTTCTTTCAAAGTGTGAGACTTGAATTTGATTAGGCACTCTGGAGTAGAATTTTATTAGCAAAAATAATTTAACATACTGATTAAATCTCTCCAATGGGAAGAGTTGTAAAGCACTTGGCATTGCTTACCATACATGTTAACACTTCGCGGACCGGACGCCTAGACCTAGGCGTTCGGGTTTTAAACATGGAAGACCGGTCGCCTAGATTTATGCTTTTAGAACACGATAAGTTGCAACACGCTATACATCGCTCTGGCACCACTTACATTGCACGCAACTGCCTGCAAATGCATGATAAGACTCTGGAATGTTTAGTTAGCTGTCAGTAACTTGACCTCGCTGTTTACTTAACCGAATATAAAGGAAAATGCTTTGTCTTCTTCAAGCTGTGTGTATCAGCCAGTGGGTAGTGGGGAGAATGGATCAAAGACAAATTCTCCTCCGAAGACCTAGATGACCTGGCTTGTGAGTGAGACGTGTATTAATGGTGATTCAGAGAGCGGCAGTGACAGGGGAGAACAAAGAATTGTGGCCACAGAATGTAAAACTGACAGTAGCTCCGACGATAATGCAGGTAATAACATTGCACGTAGTAACATTGCATGGACAGCAAACATCTAAAAAAAATCTAGACCCTGATTCAAAATTGAAATACAAAGCATTTCTGATGAATGTGGTAAAGGTTTGGGCTACGGACAAGATGGTGGCGAAAGAACCAGTGTCAGACAGACTTACTGCGACTTAGCCCATCAACTCCAACCCCACACAGAACTCATGTGGACACCCCTGGGCGACTCTCGGGTGATATGTGGAAACATACCCTCGTGAAAATTGTGAAGAGTGAACATTCCAAGAGGAAGCATCCTTCTAGGCAATGCCATGTTTGCGCAGTTCACAAAAAAGTAATATAAATGTCTACATTTGCAAGTGTGTAATGCCACTTCACAAAGGAGAGTGTTTCCAGAAAATTTCACACCCTCAAACACTTCTAGCAGCATTGGTAAGTGTTCTCCAAAAATTTTAGTTCATAAAATTAATTAGGAGATTTTATATTAATTTTTAAAGTGAACAGTGCAAAAGTTAGGGTAGTAGGTATAAAAATGCCGGTCCTCAGGGTGATTTAAATATTTAAATCGCCAGTCCACAAAGTGTTAAAGAGTTGATTTACAGTCATTTATTTAGAAGGTGAACAATACCTAAATTGTAAATATGTTTATATTCTGCTCAGTTGTCTTAATAATGTGAATCAATTTAGTTTGTAAGATATTTAATGGGTCTAAATCAACTTCAGAATTTCCAAGTGGGACTGGGAACTGTGAAGGAGATACGATTTGGGAGGAAAACATCCAAAGGCTTATTTCAAGGTACTATCAAGGCATTTGCTTGGAGAGACTGAGGAATGCCATGGAAAACATAAGTCCAGGCAGCCATTGCCCTGACCTATAATCTGAGCACACTTTATCACTTGAGGTAATTGTCAAGATGAATTTTAATAACATCTGTGGTATGAGGTTAATTTTACAAGAGATGTAAACACAGATTGATTCAAAAGTCACTGTACACCTGCAAAGACAAATGTAGGAAGTGCAAAGTGACTCAAAAGTCCCACTCTCACAACCACATGTCTCTTGTCCACTACTTTTCATCAGTCAATTGTGCCACAGACAGTGAGCTGTTTGGACACATACAAATGCTGTGAAAATGGTGTTGTCACTTGAGGCCCAAGTGTTCATGGTGGAACACACATTTCTTTATGGAGTTGATTACACAGATGTTTGTAGAAATGTTTTCCTGTATCTCAGTCACCATCACCATACAGTGCACCAGAAAACTTGCAAGTCTAGGGAAACTGGACCAGTCGCTGACATGCTGAGATCTGCAGGGCATGAGTGTTAAAAGGGCACAAACAACTGGACATCGCTGATCACATAATTCAAAATCTGAAAAAGTCCATTCCCAAACTGTTACACAAGCAGGCATCTCGTATATGAACACAGTCAGTGCTTAAGAAATTCACCTGCAGCAATTCAAAATAACATAAGTGTACAAACTGAAAAAATATGACAACTTCAAGAGTGTGCAGTATTCCTGATGGTTTGGAGATTTCCTTATGGCTACTGGCGACTTTTATTTATGATGCATGGTTCCATTTTTCTGAGTACATCAACTCTCATAGCAGACACATGTGGTTGGCATTTAATCCACATGGGATTATGGGGATATGAATGAATGAATGTATAAGGGGTGGGCCTTCTCGGCCCTTGCACTGTGACCTACAGTGGTCTATTGTGCTTATTATGGGGATAAGGTCATTCTATAGCATGTAGTCTCATGAAGTCAGGTAACTGGTCCCATATTTTTTTAGAGACACCATTAACTCTGATTCTTTACCCCTTCATTGACCATTTAAATGAGGACAACTTAGCCCATGGTTACTTCCAATAAGATGGTGCTACAGCATACAGGGCTCATGTTTTCCTGGAGGATCTATTTGATGTGTTCAGTGAATGATTAATTTTAAGGAATGCTTGGCCAATGTCACTGCTCTATCATAGTCCCACTGTTTTTTATCTGTGGGGAGCAATGGCAGCTTTAGCCTACAGTGACAATCACTATAGTCTCTATCACCTGAAAGAAATCAACAGTAATTTTATTAAGAACATCCCCCATGCCAAATTGTTGTGTGTTCTCACAAAGAAGATAAATTTGGTAGAGCTTTTCTACAAGCTTGTGGGGACCTCTTCAAACATTCTTGTAACTAGAAGCAAGTTAACCATGAGAAACATGTGTTCTCACAGCTGGAGGAGATATACTTACATTTTGTGACCAATGCTGTAGCCAAATGTGTAATATGAAATACTGCAGCAGGGGAAGCAATTTCACTTTGCCACATTTGAGTTGTGATATTGGATTTTGTCAAGTGTATATGTTGATTTTTAATGTGGGTTGACATGTCCCATCTCGATATAGCATCCTGGCATGCTACACTCCAATGGGCACCACTTGCTGTTAAGCCCAAGTGCAGCAGTCGCTTCAGATGCCTGCAAATCATATCATGTTTTGTCATGGGAAGAAGCCACATCACTTACTTCACTTAAAACGTATAAATTAAAATTCAGCAGTTATGTAGTTTTGATATGTGTGTGTAAATACGTGGTGCAATCCAAAAGTTCCCGAAATATATTAATAAAAACTATTACATCTTACCTAGATCTGATTCTGCACCATCACCTTCAAAGTAGTCCCCTTGGGAGCGCATACACTGATCCCAGCGTTTCTGCCACTTTTCAAATGCATCCTGGGAGTCTTTCTTTGTTAGGGTGTTTAGTACAGTCTGCGTTTCCGCTTGAATTCCTCAACTGTATCAAATCTTCGCCCCTTCAACTTGATTTTCATCTTGGGGAAGAGAAAGAAGTCGCATCGAGCTAAGTCTGGCGAGTATAGTGGGTGGGGAACAACTGCCATCTTGTTTTTAGCCAAAAATTCCTGCATAATGTAAGCCATACGCGGTCGTGCGTTGTCATGGTGGAGTACCGAGTTGTTCGTGTGCCACTTCTCTGGACGTTTTCTCCTCATGTCCTCCCTCAAACGCCTTAGAACATCATGATAGAACTCCTTATTGACTGTCTGACCAGGAGGGACAGACTCCTTATGAACAGTCCTGTCAATATAAAAAAAATAGATCAACATGGACTTAATGTTGCTCTTGACTGGTCGAGCTTTTTTTTTGGCCAAGGTGATGAAGGGTTCTTCCATTGCAATGACTGCTGCTTGCTTTCAGGGTCATAGCCATAAACCCAACTTTCGTCACCAGTGACAACCTTCGAAAGAAAGTTTGGATCCTCTTGAAGCTGTTGCTGAAGTTCCCTGCAGACTTCCAAGCGATGCTGCTTCTGTTCATTTTGCAACAGTCATGGTACAAACTTCGCAGCAATCCTCATTTTCAGTTCCTCTGACAAAATTCGTTGACAAGTACCATAACTTAGTCCCAAGGTGTTACAGAGGTCTTGGAGGGTCAGTCTACGATCTTGCAGAATCAGATCCCTAACTTTCACGATATTTTCTGGTGTTTTGCCCATTGACGGCCGTCCCGAACGATCATCATCATTAGTCAATGTTAGGCCATTTTTAAAACGCTTATACCAGTTGTAAGTTTGTGTCTGGCCTAAACTGTTTTCACCAAAAGCTTGCTTCAACATTTGGTGCGTTTCTGCAGCGGTTTTCCCAAGTTTGAAACAAAACTTTATACAGACACGCTGCTCTCTCAGGTCAGCCATCGCAAAACCGCAAACTCACGGAAACACAACAATGGAAATACGATCACCAACAATAAACCCAACCACTCAACTCGACACCGCTCGCCACACTGATTCAGGAACTTCAAGAAGAATGTGTGAGGAGACACCTAGCGGTATTTTGATGTACACATAACCATTCGCGCGCAAAATTCAAATTTCGGTAACTTTTGGATTGCCCCACGTAATTTGTACCAGCATGACTTCTGAAAACTGTAAGATTTAACCTCAAAGGTTTGAAGCACTGACATGATTTCAACTACAGTACACATAAAACTCCATCTATTGCCTATATTAGGCGAAGTCCACAGCTAAGAACTGCTATGTTATGCTGTACTTTGCCATGTAGCCATATCTGCATGCTGATTTGTTTTTGCTGGTTGTTTGTTTGGTCCACTAATCAACCCTGAAAATGGTGGCAATATGTTCCTTAAGAATGTTGGTAAGACAGGGAAAGGACAATAACAGCTTAATGACTTTACACAAATTAACATTTTTTGTTGAATTTTGATGCTGCAAAATATTCTTTACTACCACAAGAAGTTCAAACTGAACAACAATATTTTAAAAAGTGGCTCACCATAAAATATTGCTACATTCCTACATGAAATATCATCTATGGATTATTTAAAAAAATCTCTTCAATGTGGTGAGTATGTAATGGAATGGAAGAAAACACATTATGTGATTCTGTAACACATTAATCACTAAGATGTGGGAGGCTGCTGGAAATCCAATTTCTCAACCTGCCATCAAAACAAAATAAGAGGTGTGTATATATTTTTCACTGCAACTGGTACTGTACCATGTAACTGTCATAATTTTAAATTCCTTTTACTAATTTTATAGTCAAGAATCTAACAAATTTGCATAATTCTTACATTGGGGGCAATGGCATAATGTGATTCAGTACTGGGGCCCACAAAGGAAGTAGAGAGACGTTTGCCACCCTGACGCAACTTCCTGCCACTGAAATTTGCAGGGCCCATACTCAAAGATGAGCAGTCAGTGCTGGAGTAGCAGTGTCCAGGACGCAGTGGACTGCAGAAGAACCTACGAAGGCTGCCAGAATGCAGCCACTGACGCTTCAGCTCTCCTTGAACCTCTCCATTCAGGAAACAGTAGAGGACAGCTACAAAGAAACCCTGGAAAAATGGGATGTATTATTGATATGCCATAAATATATATGAAATTTTAAAATGCATACCACATGCAACTCATGGTAGCGTAGTGGTTGAGGTGCTATGCTACAAGCCGGAAAGTTGCGGGTTGAAATCCTGATGAGGTCATTGGATTTTTTTCAGTTGACCTAATCCTTCCAGCCACACTAGGCCCTGGGGTTTACTCAGCCTCTAACAGAAATGAGTATGCGTGGCCGGCGCATAAGGCTGACAACCTTACTGCCATCTTTGAGCTGATTGTCTAGATAATGTGGGACCCTCAATGTCTCACAACCCTATGGGCCTTCATGGCCTGGTACAGGGATAGCTTTACCTTTTTTTTTACTGCATGCAACTGTTTACAGAATGTAGAGGTAGGTAAGTATATGGCATAACAAATTTTTAGCTGTAGTGGTTTATACATTATTGCTACCAAACTCAAATTTAAAGTTAAACTGCATGTAGCCACCACGCACTTCCTTTCAGTGCGCATAAATGTGGCCTTAACAAATAGTTAGGTCATATAAACTTCTCTAAGATTTAATACCACACAAACAAAATATCAGGACAGTACAATAACTATTTCTTCTGCTTCTCACATTTCAGAATGGTATGTGACTGATAAAGAGTGTACTAGTGATTAAATGGAATTAAACTGTACCAATGTGGAAAGGCCTCTACAACCACAACATTCATATAAAGTTTCATGAACATTAATCAGGCCTGTGTATAAGTATCATGGTAGTAGAGGCCCCAAGCTATTTTACATCATAAATCAGCACTCCCTTCTTGTGATGACAGTGCTTTACAATGTGAACAATAAAGTAATACTGATAAATATTAATTTTTGAACATCAGTTGCCTACTATGAAGAAAGTCATCTTCTGGGATCTGGCGCCATGTATTCTTGGTTTTAACTGACATCCCATTGGTCCCCTCTCCCAAACCCCCCTGCCTACTTCATATATAAACCAACGCTTTTCACTTCCTAATCATTGCAGCTACTGCTACCTGTATTCGCAACGCAATTCAACTACGCTGAAGATGGAGGCGATATGTTCCTCCGAAACATCGGTTAAAACCAAGAATACACGGCGCCAGATCCCAGAAGACGACTTTCTTCATAGTCATCACCGTGAAAACCTCAAAACTTACATAGTCTCCTACTGCCATTGCAGCCTGCAGTTATCAGTCAACTGGAATAAACCCAACTTTGTCAGACATATTGCAACTGACCTGAAAGGAAGCAAACAGCTGGTCACAGAAGAGCCAGGCTATCTCGACACCTGGATGAACACCTATACTGTAGCTCATCCCCAGGAACACTGTGTAATGAACCCCAAAAAGTGGGACCAGTACTAGTGTAGACTTTGCCCACCGCCTGTCAAGGGAAAATATTGCCTTTAGTTCCCATGTTATCAATGCATGAAAAGGATAGTACAGAAAAGATGTGGGTCAGTCTGGGTGTTTCATCACACAAGTAATACAGTGAATTTCAAAACCGTGATGGGTTTCTCTCCTATATATTCTTCGGTGAATTTATTTTTTGTCTTTGATGATCCAGTGTCATCCTTAGTTTATATCATCATCAAATTTAAATTCATATCAAATTGGTAAACAAGAAAGTCTCATGAAACATACAAGGTTGAATAGATATATTAAAGCATGAGTATATGCATATGTATTTTTTTACAGTGTTTAATTTTCCATAAATTAATGATGGTCCTTATTTACTTCAAAGTTAAGCGGCCTCCGTAGTCTAAGGGTAACATCCCCACTTCGTGACTCAAGGTACGCGGGTTCAAACCTGGCGGAGGAAGTGGAAATTTTAAGGGCAGAAAAATTCAGGGAACAAGTACTCCGGCAGGGACTTTAAGCCGTGGGTCCCATGTCGTAGCTTTACGGCACGGCACGTAAAAGAACCTCATGTCCTAAGGGGACCACTGAGCCAAATTCAGGACATTTCCTGCCCAACAGTAGTCTCTAACGCCTCTGGTAGATGGGGGAAGCATCGACATACCGCTGAGCCTGTAGAGGCCGAACTCGCTGGCTGAGTCAGGACTGATGGCACGCACCAGTACCGGTAGCGAATAGAGACTGGTAGAATATCATAGGGGGACACACAATGGACCAACAGTTGGTCTAAGTGCATGGGGAAACCCACCCTCTCCAATACAATACAATACAATACAATACAATACAATATAATACAATACTCCAAAGTTATCATATACATACCATGCTGCATACATTTATAGATTATTATTTCTTGAATTTTCTTAAATATACATCAGTGTTTCAATTGAAAGTTATATATCTTAAATAAATTCAGTTTTTATGACATGTTTTATAGTATAGTAAAAGTTTATGTGACTAATATGAATAAATTTAAAACTTTTTGCAACATTTAGCAGAAAATTGAGTGATTCTGGAGATGGAGCATTCTGATAGTTGTAACTTCCATGAATTTTAGTCCAAACTATCAATTTGTTTTATCAGTTTTGTGATGTAGATTGTAATTCATACAATTTACGTTGCAATATACCCATCATGGGTTCACTTCCACACTGAACAAACAAAATATTTATCAGCCTGTGAATAAATGTATAGATCTCATTACAATTAGTTTACATATGAGAAATCACAAAATTATTCAAAAACACCAACATAAAGATAACTTTCAAAACATCTCACACAATACGCAAACTAATAAATGAAAAACGAGAAGCAAACCCCTGTGAACAAAGTGGGATATACAAAATAAGCTGCCAAAGCTGCCATAAAATATACATTGGCCAAACTTGTAGAAATCTAACAACAAGGTACAAGGAACACACAAGAAACATAAGACTAAACAAAGACGAATCGGCATTTGCCCAACATATACTAAACAAATGGCACCAGTACAGACCGATGACAGTAATCATGGAAATGATTGGGGTGGGAAAGGAAGCATCATGAATATAAAAGAAAACTTCCATATATATCGCTTTAATAAGCTCAACAAATTGATAGAAGAACAAAAACATACAAAGGAAAGTAATAACCAACATAACATGTTCAACCTCATAATACAACATCAGTACATGCCCACACTAATGTCACAGACACAAGAAGTATAAATATGTGGCGAAACACAACACTCCATGAACAACCACAGGACGACATCAAAGGCAGGATGAAACAGCAAAACTCATTAAAAAAACATAATAGGGTTGCTGAAATAATACAATACCCATAATATATATGCAGAACCTTCTTCTCAAGAAAGACAGGTGGCATAAGTTTGGCCTCCATCAAGAAAGGTGATAAGAGAGGACACGAACCTATTTGGTTTATAAATTCTAACTTAAATAACAAAAGTTTTAAAAAATTTTCAATATATCAAGACAGCTGCTGTAGTTGTGAAAACTTTGGATTTTCTATCCATTTGTGTATTGTCAACATTTTATGTATACATATTTTATCATTCAGAACACCCATTGTAATAGTGGTTTCCAAACTGTATCGATGTCCCTCTGAAGATGGTCTCTAAGGACCGAAACATGTAAGGGCATGAATTGAAATAAGAAAAACTTCACCAGGCACACTGGACGGAATTGTTTTATCTTTTATAATTTGGTGAACTTCTACTGGACAACACAATGCTACATCCCAGAAGACAGTACACTTTACATAAGATATTCTTCAATGTAGTAAAGCCTACATTTAATTAAATACAGTTCATGTAATGATACTGTGTCAATTAGCTTTGTTACCAAAAATATTAATTTTAATAACTGTTAGTAAACTGTGTGCAGATGCCCCAGTTTTGAGTACAAAATTTCCAACATAAGGTTTAGCTACATCACATCCCTCATTGTCTCAACATTCATTTATTGGAGATAAAAATTGACAGAACTAAGTAACAGTTGGTAATATTGCACAGGGTCATAAACTGTATTACTGAAGAAGACTGCCAACAAAATAACTGAATGCAATTTAGAACACTTATTTTTTGTTACATTTCATTAAATACTGAAAATTGGTTGAAAGAGAAATATTAGATCTTTATAGGATCAACATTTTATATTGTGCACCAATTTTAATAAAACAGTTTTGAAAAAATTTACATAAAATTTTATTTCAGCTTCAAGTGAAATATAGTTGATAGTAGACTGATATAGACTAAAGTAAAATTCAGTTCACAAATGCTGGAATCATCTTCCTTAACAGTATCATGGAAATGTTTTTGTAGTTTTCAAGATACGCATTGGCAAACAGATTCTTAAAACCAGTATTAATCGTTAACACCTGACATAAAGAGCTCACAGAATCTAGAATCAGTATCATTGTTCAGTATCTTCAGGTGCCCACCTATATGTCCTAGTTTCATCACAAACTGATGCTCTGAGCTTGAGGAGTAGCACACGGACAATGTTCACAAACAGTATGAAGTTCAACTGTAACACAAACACCACAGTAATATTTAAATTGGCTTGAACTTTAGGCTTAAAATCCACATTGTTTTGGTAATGATAAAGTAAAAGGGTGACTATGTTTCTGTACTTTATTAAGCACCATGCTATGAAGATGTATGTGGGAGTGGGTACATAGCTCTATCTTAAACTCAGGACTAGATGGAGGTAAGTTGTCAGCCTTACATCCCAGCTGCTTTACCTCTGGGGACAGAGCCTGTGGTAACCATTAGATAGGAGGATAAGTGGGCCTTAGAGTCGGTTTGGACACTGGGGCAAAGGGACAGACACATATTTTCCCCCGCCATGAATCAAACCATGATTCTTATTGTTAAGCCCATAGTCTAACCAATATTGCATAACATACAACGGCTTCAACCATAGTGGTGCAATTAGGGGTGCTGTATGTAGCCACAGTAGCTAGACTGTTAAGTTGGTCTTTAATAATGGACATTATAATGGAATACCCAGATTAAGAATGTCTTTCAGGTTGGTGACTGTTGCTGTTTGTATGCCAGCAAAACAGAGGTTACAGAAATAAAAGTCTTATCAGCACCAACAATAAATTTGGAAGAAAGATAAATAAAAACTTGTGTGCTTTTTTATAATATAATGAAACTATCCTCTATGCCAGTGTTTCTCAACTGCTGGGCCACGGTCCAGTACCGGGCTCTGGCATCAATTATACTGGGCTCTCTTCTTGTAGAAAAAAGAATTTATCATGCCACAGTCTGACAAAAGTTGAGAACCACTGCTCTATGCAAAGCACTTGCAGTGCTCGGAAATATTTCATAAAAGGGCAACTGTTGTACCCAACATTATTTAACTTAAACAAGACTTCTGGGAAACAAATTAAGAACTAGGCAGCAAAATGCCAGATCACAGGCTCTGAATATCAAGAGACAGTATGCGGATTATTCCTTATTTTCATCGAAAGGAATTTTCATGTTGCTTATATTTACATATTTTATACATCCTCTTTTGTCCATTGTTGTGCATTTCTTTCCACTGGCTAGGTTCCTTTATTACCCCCTCTCCTTCAGACTCACGACTACTCTCCTTGCAACTTTCCTAAAAGCAGGCCTATTTCTGTACCTACACACCATAACTCTGAAAATGGGGGCAGCATTTTCCTCTAAAACGTTGGTATCTGTCCACAAAACTGCATGGTGTAACGATCCACAAGATCACAATGTTAAAAATCACAGCCTAAAACCTCAAATCCTCAGCCAATGAAGTGAATGGGTATGGGCTACATGACCTGGTTTGGATTCCTATCTGGATCACCCATGGGGGACACCCGCCTTCCAAAATATTGCTGGAGGGGTGGGGGGTGGGGTTAAGTTGGTCAAGTCAATAAGCTGACCATACCCATCTTTTTTGACAAGGTATAGAATGTGTGGAGGTTTACTTCCATACAGTAGGGCAGGTGCTTAGATGCAAGATCAAACTGCCATTTCAGAGTTTCATACTTTCAATTTTGGTTTCCTTCTGCATAATGAAAGTTAAATTCCAAAGCAGTGATCCTGAGATAAAGCGACTTTAAGGCAGGACCTTTTCTTTCTACTTCTATTTCCCCTCTGTCAGTCATCATAGAACCAGAGCTCCATACTCGTGTATCATGGCCTTCCATGCGCTAGGCAATATTCACGTCCACTTAGCATGTAATCACAACCTCAGTTTACTTCTGACTTCCTGAAGTGGTGCTTGGCTGGAAACAGATTGATAATGTTAACTTTAATATGTGGTACCTAAACATCGATAGAAACATGGCAATAGGGCGAGTACAACGGAGCAGAAACATAGACGTTAAAAGGTGAGAGAAACAACTTCACATTCTTGTCCTTCTATCTTATAGTTCAATTATTAAATGTTATATTTGTCCTACTCCGTAGAATAACAGGATATGAGAGCAGTGCCTTTTGTTTCTGTGTTCATGTCAAAGCAAGATATGTTACCGTGGACGCACTTGCATACTCACAAGAATGGAGAAGGTTGTTGGCCCGCGGATGAGCAGAAAAAGCAGCTCACTAGAGTTTGTAGTCCAACACAGTGTGTTCTCAAGAAGGGAACGTACAGCAGCCCAAGGAAGCACGAAGAGAGCCGGCAGCCCTGCAATACATACTTTCATATTACAGCTGAGTATGGAGCATGTCTCAAAACCAAAGCCTACAACAAAATCATAATTCAAAAGTTTCGTGAAGAAATAGAACATAAGTTTCTAGAATGCAGAATACAATACACTGATTTGAAATGGAAAATGTTAATTGCGCTACAGCACCATTATCATTTACTTCTGGATCAAACTAAGGGACATACATATTATTATTTATATTCTCATGTCAGTATTATATGAAGTTTCAGCCTATTGTATGGAGGCGAAATTTTAATCCAGAAGGAAGACAATAATATTTACACTCCAAAAGAAGAAATGTTCTAGGATAACAGAGAATCAACTAGAAAAGAAATGATGGCATTGAAAAGGAATTAATAACCTTTGACAAAAATAATTAAATAATCAGCTACATGAATGGACAGACAACGTGCAAATGATGAAATTATCATAAATACATCACACATTTATGAATTTCCTAGAGGTTTTCCGCCCACTACTCATTACCGCTCACCAAACTCTGCAAAAATGTTGAATTAGCGAATTCCAAATAGGAAAATTATTACATATGAGGATTATTGTAACCAGTTTCATAAAATGAATAGATTCATAAAAATATTAGGCACTCTTATTTTATGATCGCTATTATTCTCTTTATGGGCATTCTTCGTTTATGTTCATGCAGTAGTTCCTCCATTCACTGTCATATACTCTTAGTATTGATAACTGTTAATAGATGCTTCAATGCGTTTATATGCCTCCATTTGTTTGTGCATGTTCTCCTTTTGCTTATATGTTTATTTCTCTTACATAAACGTGACAATTCCTCCTTTCAGATTACTATGCTCTCAGATTTTTAACGTATGAATGTGTCATACACATATTTTATTTATGTTTCAGTATTAAGGTTTAAATGGTCAGTAATGAAAAAATTAAAAAAGAACAGTATCTCCTATGGAAATGTCTTTTATGAAATCCAATGCCCTTCTCACATTATTGAATCACATTTACGTTATTCAGGAACCCCAATACACATTACAAATCCATGTTCTTACCCTTGAGTCACATGTAAACTAAATTTATGCCTAAAATTGTTTAATTTCTATTTACTTAAAAGAAGGGCCCGTTACATACCATGAAGAAGCGGATCTATATTTTCCAGTAGATGGCATTCCACATGTGCAGTTCCTTGATCTTTGATCTCACAACAATATATTTACAACATACATACAACATCAGTGTACTCGTATATTGAACAAATCCTTATATCGTTGCAGACAGACAAGAAAGTTTGGAAACCTGACGTTAATCCATTCTGCTGTTTTTCAAATCACTCTGCCAGCGAAAGTTTGTTTAGCACAGACAAATTATGTGTACTTACTTACTCACGGAGCTCAGCCCTTCTTGAGGAGCCACCATTTCTGCAGCTACTCAAGAATTTACCAGCATTTTATGGAATCCGTATGTTCATTACTGTGTTCACAAGAGCCCTCCATGGGTCCATATCCTGAGCCAGATCAATCCAATCCATACCATCCCATCCTATCTCTCTAAGATTCATTTTAATATTGTCCACCCACCTATGCCTTGGTTGGTCTCTTTCCTTCTGGCTTTCCTTACATGCCTTCCTCTTTTCCCCCATTCATGCTGCATGCCCTGACCATCTCATCCTCCTTGACTTCATCATTCTAATTATATTTGGCAAAGAGTACAGGTTATGAAGCTCATCATTATGCAATGTTCTCCAACCTTCTGTCACTTCATCTCTCTTGGTACAAATATTCTCCTTACCACCCTGTTCTCAAATACCCTCAGTCTATATTCCTCCCTTAATATCAGAGACCAAGTTTCACACCCATACAGAACCACAGACATTACTGTAGTTTTGTGTATTCTAATTTTTATGTTTTTAGACAACATACAAGAAGACAAATGGTAGCAAGCATTACCCAAATTCTAACTCACTTTCTTCCTGAATCAGGTTTTGATTTGTTATAGTCATTCCTAAATATCTGAACTGTGCCACATTTTCAAAACAACTGTTACCTATCTTTATGTCATGATTTTGCCCTACATTCTGGTGATGAGATAGCAACATATACTTAGTTTTCTTGTGTTTACTTCTAGACCAACCTCCTCAGTAGTGTCAATTAAAGTTTGTGTGTCTCTTTATGGTATCTACATATGTTATCCTCCAGTAGATTCCTATCATCAGCATAGACCAGCAGCTGATGTATCCCATTTAATTTCAGCATCACCAGGTTTTCCTGGACCTTCCTAATGGCATATTCTAAAGCAAGTTTAAAAACTATGGCGATAAAGCATCTCTTCATTTTGGACCAATCTGGATAGGAAAACTATCAGGCAAATGTTTACCTGTATGGACTTTATTACATATTTCATTTAAACGCACATTAATCGGCCTAGCTATGCAGGAGAGTCAGTAAATTGGTCAGAAATGGAAGTAAAACACATGTAACAGAATTTCTCTCTGGACTACAGTCAAATCAAGGGCCATGTCCCAAACAGAAAGCAATTTCCCATTCTATTTACCCCAACCGAGTACCACATAAAGAGTGATGGCGCTGGTGTCGGAGAAGAGGGCTAGGAAGATGAGATTGTGTAAGTAGAGGCCCTCCATCAGAATCCAGGAGTAGTTGGCCATGATGCAATACTGCCAAATACTGGTCACAGTCTTGCACAGCCAGCTGCTCTGTAACACAACACAGATCATATAAATATGTCTGCCAGCATGGTTGCTCTAAGAGACAAAGTTTAAATCTTATATCGCAGTAATTACCTCTCAGTTATTGGTGTAGTATGCCTACTTCGTATTCATGAAGTCCCAGGTTTGATTCTCAGCCCATAAACAAGTCAGCCTAAGGTCTTTTTATGGTTCTCATCAGTTTCTTGGAAACATTTCTAGAATACTAGCTCTTAAAATAAAGAATGACAGCTTCCTTTTGTGTTATTCACCACCCTTTCCCAGTCGACCCCACATTGCTGGCATAGGTGATATAAGGTCGCTAAATAATCCAAGAAACCGAGAAGAATGTCCACTTTATATATGAATCTCAAGTCGAGAATATTCAGATTTCTCAAAATGACTGATTCCACAGAAAGTCGGTAAATGATATTATATTTTAACATTTAAACAATGTGGGGTAAAGAATGGAATTATGACAACAACAACAACAAGAATAAAAATATAAACAACACCATCACCAGTATTGGCTACAATCTGGATAACTGTCATTTTAAATTTTTTTAAGCTGTAGGTTTGTTGGTTTATTTTATACATTTTTTTAATTTATTCGGTTGATCCATACTGGTACAACAATTGGATATGGAAAAGTCAAAAATAAAAGACAGTACAGTATTAATAAATAATGATACATAAATAAATGCTATCAAACAAAATTTCTGTAGCCTGACTTGAGGGTCGAGCGTCCATCTCTTCTGCCTGAGTGGTTTATTGATTTACCGGAATCTCTGAAATGATCTAACTCTTTAAAGAACAAAACTGATAAACCTACGTCTGTCATGTTTACCGTTGCTATCTCAAAGGACTCTTTGGGTTTTCGGGCTGGTTGACATGTTGAAGGTTACTCACTCACCTGATCATAGAAATAGGACGAGCCGTTCTTCTCTACGACGTCCATACGCAAACCGACTCCGCCAACGAACAGGATGTCCTTCAGGAGCGCCATGAAGGCACGCATTATGAAGGATACGAAGAGGTGGAGGTGCAGCATGTTGCGGGGACAGCGCAGTTTCCTGGCAATGAGTTGGTCAGTTAGCCGTAGTGTGCCGTAGCGTCCATTTGTGTGTTCAGAATTCGGAGAGTTTCTTAATTTGAAGATTTTAGGCCACTGCCAAAGGTGAGGTTCCCTAATTTAACAAGCCGCATTTGTCCGCTCGTCTACCCGCATCCTTCGTACGTACAGGCTGTATTCGTACTGCTCCGTGGTTTAGCCACCAGGGACTCCTGTCACCTTGTGTCACCCTCTGTCGCCGAAGATCCCAACTTTAAACTAATTGACTGGCTAACTAACCAATTAACCAACTAACTAACTCTATGGAGCTGAGTCCTTCTTGAGAAGCTGCCAGTCGCTCAGCTACTCAAGAATGTCCCAAAATTTTATGGGGCCCGAAGGTTTATTACCGTATTAAATACTATAGCAACGTTGTCGTTGGTCGTGCCCGATTATAGACTGTCAGCATTGCAGCTCCATCCCCAGCCGTGAGAGTCTACCGAGGAGACTTCCAAGTAAGAAATTATGGTTCTGGCCGTTACTTGAGGCAATTAGACCTTACTCAACCTCTAGTCAGTCAAACCCACTGGACAGCGTACATGTGTGTATGTAAGTCGCTTGCGTCGGTGTCGTCATGTTGTCTGGTTTAGAATTCGTTTCTGTGTTCAACAACTGACCGCTTCGTGGTCTAGTGGTCAGAGTTCCTGGCTACAGATCCTGAGGTCCTGGGTTCGATTTCCGGCGCTACCAGATTTTCTGGGCAGTAATGGGTCTAGAACGGGATCCACTCAGCCTCGTGAGGATAACTGAGGAGCTGTTTCAAGGAAATAGCTGCTGCGGTCGCTCGGTCGGTATAGCTCATTTGCGGACTAAAAACAGTCCACGGAGTTTTGTGTTCAACAGATGCTACGTCAGAAACTTGGCACTATGTAAAAGGAATAACGCGAATGTAAGACATGAACAGGGAGCAACGTCGTGCCAAAAACGTCGACATGCATCATGGCACAAACACTGACACCGAGTCAGTAGCAGCTTGTCATATTGAGCAGGCCCACCTACAAAGAATATAAATGTAAACGGAACTGAACTTTGGTTATGTGCTACATTGGAGCACACAATGGCACCGACACTTCAAGTTGACACGTGGAAGAAATTACATCACAGAGCAACTACTACAATTAAAACAATGTCAGCAATGCTAACACTACAAACGAAATTCAGTTGAATTCAATTGCTTCAAAGATGTCGGTATTATTATTATGCTTAAGCAACATAAGTATTACTCCTGTTGACCCTGGACTTATAAAGCCTGACAATTATCAGCCCCCTCTGATTGTCAATATTTATCTGCTCCTTGCCGCTTGTATTCAAAACTATGGATATTCGTACCGCAAATATTTGTCTGGGTATTATGCCCTGCTTTATAATAATCTCTCAACTTACGGCTAGTCCTGTGTGTATGGTACCACCTCTGTGAATTCTGTCCCCGGCCTCAATGCTGCTGTTCAAGATGCCATGGAACATGCAATTCCCCGTGGCATCACAAACACTCATACGAAATTCTCACACTGGTATTCTGGTTCCTTGAGATATTATATATGGGAAAAAAAAAATTTTACAGACGTTTAAAAAAAATCCGACTGCCTTTACCAAAAATTTTCTTTCTACCATAAGCTAGTTGAGGCTACTATTAAGTCTGAGAGACTTAGATGGCTGAAATCTGTGGATGAAAATTTGAAGACTCAACCCAAGCAATTCTGGAAATATGCGGTCTTCATTAGGAAAAGAAACTCTACTTCCATCCAGCTTGCGGTTAATGGTAAGCAATTAATCAAACCTAACGATATTCCTGAGGAATTTTCAAAACATTTTCAATCAGTATACCACAATCCTTGTCCTACTGTCTTCCCCAGCCTATTGTCATCTTTCGAATTCTTACCTTTAGCGTCTGTTTCCGATCCTGATGTTATCAAGGCCATTAAGCGTCTGAGACCATGTATATCTGTTGGAGTTGACGGTATCGCTGGATTCATTATTAAGGGTTGTGTCGATATATTTGTACCCATTCTTGAACATATCTTTAATCTAAGCTTATCTCAGTATTATTTTCCCACCCTATGGAAGCAAGCAGCAATTGTTCCTGTTCTCAAAAAGGCAAAAGGAAGTACGTTATTCTGGTATACTTTCGTCGCCGTAGTGGTATAGTCATGTATGTGTCAGGAGTCCGTTTTAGGGTCTTTGCTTTTCAATATTTTTATAAATGATTTATATAACGTAATTAATCACTGTCTTCTTTTTGCTGATGACCTTAAAATCTATCGAGCATCTACTTCACCTAGTGATTGTTTACTTCTACAGTCAGATACTGATTGTGTATATAACTCTTATGAAGCGTAATTTCAGTAAATTTAAGGTCATTTCTTTTACCAGGAAGACAAACGTTCTGAATTACCAGTACAGATATGGACATTCTTTTATATTGCGAACACATTGTTTTAGGGATTTGGGTGTGCTAATTGACTGCAAATATAATTTTCATCGTCATGTCGATTTTCTTTTTCCCGGTGCACTGAAATTACTAGGGCTAATTTGCACAACATTTCCGTTTTCCACCTTAGGCTACTGATGCTATATTTTGCTTCTGTCAGATCTACATTCGAATATGCTTCTGTTGCTTGGAGCTCTGTTGCGATTGCTGATTCCAATATACTCGAGTGCATATGAAGAAAATTTGATGCTCTTTGCCACAACAGATTTTCCTAGATATGCAATAACTGACTGAAAAAAAAAATTTGCTGACAATGCATAACAGGCGTAGTCACTTTGATGCTTTCTTCTTAATAAATGTGTTCAGTGACACTAAATGTTGTCGCTCGAAACAGATAGGCCTTCGCGTTCCTACTTCAATATGTTCACTTGCTTTTCTAGCCACTGCTCTTCAGCTAGGTGTTCCAGCTGCAAATGCAGTTTGTAAATGCACAGATACTTTTAATAATTCATGTTTGAGTGTAAAAAGCCTCAGCTGAACCATTTTTCCTTGTACTCGTCTTTTGTTTTTTCTTTTGTTGTTTTTTGTTCGTTTTGTCCCATAGTGTTTCATTTCTGCTGTTGTTTGCATCCGTGTTGACTCTGTAAGTGGCCACTCGCTGCTGAGCTCAGAACGTAAGTAAATAAATAAATGAATTATTATTATATTATCAGTCAGTCCTCATCACTCTCATACTTTGATACCAGTTCACTTTGTCTGTGAGGTAAAGTTAAAATTGCCCCACACCACTCCCGTGACTAACTTACACAATACTACGAAGAGTAAGAGGGAACAGAGGTAGGGCTCCATGCACTCTTAACCACTGCATTAGACGTGTCTGAGTACTATGCAACAGAAAGAAGTCAACTCACTTTATGGTAGCCAGAATGCAGCAAGCTATGACCAGTGTAGACAGTGACACTGTGTACCCCACCTGGGCGATGGTTTTCAGCGCCGGGAAGTATTCCTGCAAAGCAACATGTTTTCTATATATCAGTGTCACAGATTCTTATAAACCAAGACGGTTTTGTAAACTATAATCTCAGCTTACCTCAGGAATCTCTTAGTGGATTTACAAGATTTCAATACCACGGGCTCTGTAGTTTTATACGTCATTCAATCTACATAAATTGAACTGATATTCCGCAAGTTTGATGTGCCAAACATTTAGCACGTTATAAAATGTCGTATGGAAGTCCTACAGTGGCTGGTCACAGTAGCAGAGCGGTCTAAATAATGTACTGTCTTCGCTCGCTCGAAAGCCGGGATCATGGGTTCCAATCCCGCATAAGGTATTGATGTTTGGTATGTGTTTATTCTGTGTTTGTGTTGTCTTGTGTTTAGGTGGAGGCCTTACGACGAGCGGATCACTCGACCAAGGTGTCCTACCGTCTGTAAAATGATTAAATTAAAAATAAATAACAACCTCGACACCGTAAAATTATAAGAGCTACTGATTTAGTAAGTCCTACTGTAAATTTATCGTTAAGAACTAATTAACATTTCCTTTTGTTCTTCTCCCTTGACGAACAGGCCCTCTGGCCCGTTTCCATCCAGAATTAATCTCATTCTATAAATCTTACAGACAGTCGGTAGGACTTCTTGGACGGAGGATCAGCACGTCGCAAGGTCGCTACCTATACACGACAACAGAGACAGAAGAAACGAAGAGAGACATCCATGCCTTGAGTCAGACTCGAAACCACGATCCTATTGTTTAAGCGGGCGAAGACATTTCATGCGTTAGAACGCGCGGTCACTGTGGTCGGCCTAACGTTTTATAGTTAAATATTAACTACAGAGTGTACATAGACATTATAAGTTACAAAAACACACACAATAGAAGCAGTACATTGGAACCAAAGAAGGTTCACCCGTCCGTGTGCTACTATATAAAATAAAAATAGTTTTGCAAGCCAAGTAAATCGAACAGAATGCTCCCAGGCAGTCTACCCCACGAGAAAACAGGACTTGTGTATCTACATGAAAGAATTCAAGGGCCACAAACGCGGCTTTTGAATTTTTTTTTCCTTAGGAACGAGGGCTGGTGGAATAATGAAACCTGAAATGTGTGCTTATATCCACATACCCACCCTCCTACATACCCATTACCCCTCCACCTACCAACTGACACACGCGCATACCAACCCACCCACCCACCACCTACCTACAAACCTACCTATTTTTTTTTATTGCTAGTGGGGTGGGACTAAGTCCCTTGTACTGCGGCCACTTCTGGCCTATTGTACCAGCCCAGATGATAGGTGAGGGAGATTGTGGAGTAATTTGTGGAGAAAACCTGTCCCAACGCCACTCTGTCCACCACAAATCCCATTTGATCAGACCCGGGATCGAACCCGAGCCGCCGCGGTGGGAAGCCAGCGACGAACCGCTTGAGCTATGGCGCGACCCACCAACCTACCTATCTGATCAGCCAATTAACGAAGTAACTAACTCCATAGAGCTGAGCCATTCTTTAGATGCTACCAGTTTCTCAGCTGCTCAAGAATTTCCAAACGTTTTGTGGAACATGCAGGTTCATTACTGTGTTCACAGGAAGTCCCTGCTGGTTCATATCCTGAGCCAGATTAATGCAGTCTATGCCACCCCATCCTATTTCTCTAGGATCCATTTTATTATTATCCTCCCACCTAAGTCTAGGTCTTCCGAATGGTCTATTTCCTTCTGTATTTCCCACCAAAATCCTGTATGCACTTCTCTTCTGCCCCTGTGAGTGCCAGATACCTTGACAATCTCATCATTATCTTCGCCAGCTTCAAAACACGCACCAAAAGCTGAAAAATAAACATAAATGTTAGTATTTTACAGCATGTTTGTTCGACACGTTTTGTACTCGGCTGGAGAAAACACTTCTTAGCCAATCAGGTTCAGACTTCGCATACACCAAGAGGGCCCTGATAACCATCTTACCAGAAGGCTCCCTGCTGGGTTGGAAGTCACTGACTTCGTTCTACTTTTCAACATACTCCTATTTTAATGTAAACATATAACCTTGCGTTTCTTTGTTTAGAATGAAGTAGGAGGAAAACCAAGTATGGGGAAACATTTCACATAACTCTGTACTCATACGCCCCACATTCACCGGCCGTCGCTCTTGTTGCACACAAGTAATGCGAACAAACGTTTGTTTGGCAGCAGTGTATTGGTTGTTGCTTTTCGCTGAAATATCGCATGGAGCAGCAGCGGATGGCTACACACCTATCTGCTCTAAAGAATGTCTCATTGTTGTATGCTCTATTTTTGAGGATGGTTTCTGCACTTCAAAGTAAGTATATGTACCCTGAGGGCTTTCCTTAAAAAGTTACAGCTAATCCGAGGTCAACTTCTGTGGCCATACCATATATATTTAACGGGTTGTATATAAGAAAAAAACAAGGAAACATTATTAATAACCTCTTAGTTTTTATTTTCTTTTAAGAGGAGCTCTGAATTGCCTCCGCGTTCACCGGCACAAAATTCAGCTCTGTCTGAAGGGGAAGCGTGTCAAGTGTTCGAAGTCTCCAGCTGTATTTTTTATTTCGATTGCAAAGTTGCTGAATTTGGTGCCACAGTTCCTCTCCGGTATCGACTGTACTAGCATAGACTTTGAGTTTGAATTATGCCCACAGAAAAAAAAAATGAGAGGATTCAAGTATGTGAGCATGTAGGCCTACTTTAGCCCATTTGTTACCAAGTTCTGAGTCAAATTGATCTATATGATCACCACTAGACAGAAACAAAATGGTTTCGCAACGTCCGGATTTACTAAGTAAGATAGTACACCCGCCCCCAGACTCTTTACTTCCTCACGGTGTATGCCTCGGCTAAACTCAGGGTTATGAGTCTTGTATCCCAGGGGTACATTGGTGTTGGCTCGCTTACGTCGTTTCGGATGCAGGCTCGATCGGTTAATCCCTCAGCACAGGTTTCACATGAACACCCTCACTCCCTGGCTTCTACTCCCCCACTACTCAATTACCACCGCCGCTCCTCCCAGAAACCACGTTCTTACAGCCATCTCGAACCTTCCACTGGGAGGGCTTCATGACCAAACGCACGGACCCCTTCCGGTCTGCACACCTTCTCGAAGCTTCTATCCACAGGTCCTCCACCCCCACAGGCACGGACGAAAGAAGGTATACCTACTCCACCTTTATGCAATGGACTCACCAACCTCCCTTCTGTCCCTCGCAACAAAAGGCCAGTTCAGAGGACCATGATCCCTCCGGGGCATCTCATTCCTACAGCTAAACTTAACCGTTACTTACAAACAAATAAGACATTTCCGTGAAGGATGCGTACGGTTACAATAGCCATGACAGGACTTGATATTCCAATGGTTATAACCTTTCAAGGAAGGCCCTTAGCGTGCTTATTCAACGTTTTTACGCATTTTTAGGCCCGGAAACCATCCTGTAAAATATGGCATGTAATAACAACACACTCTTTATAGAAATCACGGAGTTCATGAATGGTTGGAAGCCAGGATAAGAATCACGTCGTAACCTGTGCCATGTAAGGCAGGATCAGCACCAGGGATGATTAGGTTTTAGGCAAAACGGCTCATCTTGGAAAGTTTAATATGCAAAGAAAATCTCTGAATTCAAATATCTATACTGCAACCAATTGAAATTTTATATTACAATAAAAACTCAACGTACTAACGTGAAACTTGGGCCTGCTATTTCTCCGAAAAATAATTAATATTTGACTATATTTTTAACAATTTCGCAACCCATTGTATACGAAAATGTACAAGATTTTGTTTATTTCTTACATACACAGCGGCAACGCGGGCTGCAGCGAGAAGCACGGGGCACGGTGCCATCTTAAGTAGTGATTTATGGAACAGCCGCTGCACAGCACCTGGGTCTGAGATTTTATGCAACTGGAGACATGACAGGCGTCCGATGCAAGATTCATAAAATATTCTTTCATCGTCCTCTCCAGACAGAATGTTACAGTCTAAAAGTCTCCTTGCTCCTATTCCAACGTTCGTTTCCATTAGCTGTCAAACATAGAATGGTATAGGATATGTAGGAAGAAAGTTCGGATAAGAATATCTGAACTTTTAAGAGGCACTGAGAAACAAGAGAAAAGAGAAGGTCAGGTAGCAAAGAGTTTCACAAGTTGTACTCTTCACGAGGAATTATAGGAAGGTTATATAAGCCTGACGGATGAAGGCGGCTGTGCATTTAGCATGCGTCGAACTAACATGATTACTTGCAAAAATCTGGTTGGAATATATCGCAGAAAGAGGTGATTATGGAGAATTAAGCGTAGATGTGACAATTATGTTGAAAAATATATTTTTGAAGATGTTAAGTCTTATGAAGATGCTAACTGGTCTTCATTTGATCGGGATAGTGTCTAAGCTTTCAGACGGTGATGATAAACCCTTTCAATAAATAAGAGCAGAAGATTTCTTTAAGAACTGCCCGACTATGAACTGCTCAACTCTGATCCTGCACTAGACAGTTCTTCTATTTGCATTACTTCCATTCTCAGGACAAAAATAAGGTTAGACGAATCAATATAACTGTGGTCTAGTGGTCAGAATATCTGGCTATAGATACAGAGGTCCGGGTTCGATTCCCGGCGTTACCAGATTTTCTACGAAGTAGTGGAGCTGGAACGGGGTCCACTGAGCCTCGTGAGGATAATTGAGGAGCTATTTCAAGGAAATAGCAGCTCCGGTCTAGAAAACCGAAATTAACGGCCGTGGGGATTCGTTGCGCTGACCACGCTACACCCTCTATCCGCTAAAGTTGGCACTAACTTCGCCGACAAGCGGCGGTTGCTCGGTCGGTATAGTTCGCTTGCGGACTAAAACCACGGAGTTTATTTTTTGTTTTTGTTTGTGAAAAAATACTATCGTTATACTGGCGATTATGAGTATAGAGTACTATATATTGTCACTACTTGGGAGCTTGATTTCATCATATTGTCGCCTGTATCCTGGTAACGCAATAGTAAATAATGGGTTCTGGACATGCTAACTCGATTTATTGGATAATTTCACACGTCGTAACTACAACCCACTACTGTACTTTCAAGATTGCTGTATCTATGACAAGCAAACAACTGTAATATTCTCAAGCTTAACACATCAACTACTGAACTGCCTTGAACGACGTCTTCCTGACGAATCCCCTCGAATCCTCTGGCTTACGAATGCTGAACTGAACTGAACTGAACTGCTGGTGTTATTTTCGTTACATAGCCTCCGTGCGGACCACGCACGGAGAACCCAGATATACTGTTGCATAAGAAAGACCATAGAGAGAAGTCACGTGATTCCTAGCCGGCATCTTCATTGGTGTGCTGTTGCCTAGCAACGCGCAATAACATTCGTCCACTGAGACACATCTTCCATTATTGCACGTTGACCGTATTTACCGAGCAGCTGCCTAGAATCGCTTTGAGCAAATCCGTTACAAATTATATATATTCTAATAGAGCATGTTTAGAACAGAATATAATATTAAACTATACACATCTAAAAATCAACAAATCTACAATGGCAAGAAGCACATAAATATAAGTAGAAAATAAAGAACGAAATAAAATTCTCACACAAGAAAAGACAACATCTATGCAAGAAACTGTACAGTTTACGATAAATGATACAAACTCCGTCCTAAGTGCAACCAATATACATTTATATGTCTTTGATCTTGTTCTTTCTACACTACATGTTTCGGCCTCTATCGGCCATCATCAGGTGTATACTCTTAACGTTGCTGCCACACTGAACCCAGTCTAAAACTTAACATTTAAAAACACAATGTCACGTTCTTCGTATTATCAACATCTACATCGTTGATATGTGTCTGGTATGTAGATTATGTTGCACACGTCAAACCCGATATTCTTGTAGTAGCACTCTAAAAATCTTTAGTTATGATGTTTTTAAAATCTTTTAAAATTTTCTCTAAATTTTAAATTTAAAATTTAAAATTCTTAGGGTTACTCGCCCTATGTCTAAGTGCTGGAGCGGCTAGTTCTTGTTTTCACACTGTACAGGTGTTATTTAATGTAGTCTTCTTGTGTGAATGCCGCTGCTTGTCTGTACTACGTGTGCTGTCTGCTGTATTGTGTCACAAGATCAACAAGATCAAAGACATATAAATGTATATTGGTTGCACTTAGGACGGAGTTTGTATCATTTATCGTGTAGAGTGCAACAGGATGCTTAAATATAATATTGTACAGTTTACACCTGAGGCAATTCATGAACTCATATAAATCGAGATATCGATTATAAATCAAAACAGAACACGATAGGATATTTTCATGGTTTTCCTCAGTCACTCCAGGTAACTGTCGGGACGGCACTCAATTTAGGTTGCGAATGTTTCCTTCGAGATCCGACATTATTCACCAATCATTATACGTATCATTCAGTATTACGTAGATTATAATCTGAGCCCCTGGAGGCACCGTTACGTAAACAAAAAAGTTGTAAGAAAATAAAGAAATCGTGTAAAGCATATAAATATATAAATATGAGAATACATATGCCTCTTACTCGTACATAAGAGTCAGCCATACTAAAATTTCTTAGTTAATTTACTGTTGAAATACGATACTCAAATATAAAAGGCAAAACACAAGGCAACTAGCCTGCAGGGCCTGCAAGGCCTGATATTGGTGGCGGTATATTTTCAGAGAGGGATTTTAGACTCCCATTGATGGATTTTTTTTTAATTCGAACTACAAGCTTCTATATTTACTTTACTAAAACAGAATTTTATTAATGTAACATGACATATGCTCTTAACTACGGCTGTGCAGAGATGAACACGACGAGGCTATGTGGAATTAGTTTGGACTGCGAGTAAATTAACAAATGTCAGGCTGTTATTGGTGGGAATAAAGGCTCTCTCATGGCCAATATTTCGCGTGTGTCTGTATTTGTTTCAGTTCTATTGCTCTTGAATATCTACTCATGCCATTAATACAATGTAGTTGCAACGGACTCTTGTGTTTTTTCCGGATGTACTCGTACAATACTTTTTATTCAAGCACTCTTCATTGTGTCGCAGGGGATTCTGAATAAACCAGGGCTAAAAATTTGGTTTTCATTTACATGTTTTAAGGCTTCGAAGTACTAGAATGTAGAACTGTAACGACGTTCTCTACTTTTATTTCGCCCCCTTTTGAACGTTAATTTCTGTGAAAATTTTGAAAGGAGGGATAAAAAGAACTATGTAAACAAGTAGAAACACATACAAATATATCGGGTAATGGAACTAAACTATATCTGACGACTAACTCACAACTGATTTACAATCAGCCGTAGACATCCCCTGTAGTTAAGAGGTTATCAGACTGGCCCATACAGAATTACTGGGGTTTTGGAATTTTAGGTAATAGAGGACACGACGTTTCGGAAACTGGATCTGTTTCCGTCTTCAGGTGACAAAGGAAGACACCTACTCAGTTGCGCCCCATAGAAAGAGTTAATCTCAATCAGGGGCCGAACTGACTAGGTGTCTTCCTTTCTCACCTGAAGACGGAAACAGATCCAGTTTCCGAAACGTCGTATCCCCTATTACCTAAACTTCCGGACGATAGAAAAAGTCCAAAACCCCAGTAATTCTGTGTGTCATCCATCCTCGTCAGAACCCTTTAGAATCTATATTGGCCCACAATTCAAAAGGCTCAAAATACGGTTCATTAAAGAAATATTTCAGGCGATATGTATGAAGGAAGAGTAAAACAGTTGAGTTTTATTCAAAATGAATTTAGTTTTCGCCAGGGTCATCTTCTTAGAAGTTCTGTCTAAGAATATTCATTAAAGTTTACTTCCGTCTCCATAGTACCCCGCTACTGGTCCTTATAATGAGTCAAATACTCCTCGCTTTTTTTCCCCCCCTTGGCACTACAGCCCCAGTGGGCCTAGGCCTACCTCCACGAACTTCTCCGTTCACGTCGGTTTTTCTAGATCTTACACATTCGGTAGGACTCCTTGGGCGGGTGATCAGCTCGTCGCAAGGCCTCTACCTGTACACAAACACAGAAAAACGCACACACACAAACTAACCTTCCGTGCCCTGAGTGGGATTCGAACCCACGATCCCGGTTTCCAAGCGAGCGAAGACAGTACATGCCTTAGACCGCTCGACTACCGTGACCGGCTCTCCTCGCTTTACTTCTGATAAATTTTAATATCATCATCCAGTCTACACCTAGATCGTCCAAGCGGTCTCTTCACTCCTCACGTTTCTTACATGTCCCGTCTATCTCCTGCCTTCATCTTCTCGCCAAGCCCCGGTAATCAGTCTCAGTTTGCTTACCGAAATGAGGGGGTTGTTGTCGACCTCGCTGAAGTTGACGGGCACAGTGATGGTCGGATCGGAGAAGCAGCGGCTGTAGTTTGTCCAGGTTGTGTTGCTGGCGTCCCTGAACCACTGCCCGCTGGGAAGACACAGCTTGGAAGCGTTCGCCTGTACAGTATGCAACAGTGTTGTTCGAAAGATGATCCAAAATATTCATATTTATCTGTACACAATTCATGGTACGGTATTTCATTGATTCTAAGGGTGGCCGCACACCAACTGCGTCAAGACAAGCATCAAGACATGAGACAAAAGACACAGTCTTGCTTCATTCGTGATTCGTCAACATGAAGCTGACGTCAGCATCATGATTCAGACCTGCGTGCGACGGTTTTCATAATCTCATTCGTTTCAACTGTGCTCCTTTCTTTGCGTCATGTCGCAGATATCGTGTCTTGACTGTTACATGTCTTGACGCATGCCGGTGTGCGGCGTACCTAAGATGCCATCGATTTTACGAGGCATCCGTCATTTCATTTCAATACCGCGTCATAATGGTACCGTTTAAAAGATACTCTAAAGTGGCAATTATCTATGGTATATGAGGTTTGAAATTTCGTGTAGGAATTAAAATACACCTCGAGTAATTCTAAGTGCATCCAACAGCGAATTAAGACGACAGCAGGAAGTTCAACAATGACAACGATACCACCCAACTCCCCTTCCGTAGTGTTCTTAAAAAAAGTTTTTAGATGCAACAATTAGTACAGATGCAACAATAATCGCTGACTAATCTATATTCATCGAACATCACTGACCATTAGCACTACTTGGTACTGTCAGCCCCCAAGTGGATTCTAAAGGGTTCTGACGATGGCGTATAATACTCAGAATTACTGGGTTTTTGGACTTCGTCCATCATCCGGTAGTCTAGAAACTATAAAACACAGCGTTTCGGAAACTGGATCTATTTCCGTCCTCATGGGAGGGAGAGGAGGAAGACTTCTATTCAGTTGGGTCCCTTAGAAAGAGCTAAAGTCAGTCACTGCACCAGTGTGGACGAAAATAGAGCCAGTTTCCGAAATGTTGTGTTTTATAGTTTATAGACTACCGGATGATGGACGAAGTCCAAAAACCCAGCAGCTCTGAGCCCCATAAAATGCTTTAAACGCTGTCACACGTAACAGCATTCCTAACAAAGCAAATATACAGAAACACTTCCGAAATCTCCTTTGTCACTCTGTGTGTCCCACGAATAGTGTTACGGATATAAATGGTTTCCTTGTGGTTTAATCATACAATATAATTTTTCAGCATCGATTCTTAGACCCCTGCAATTGTAAGAGGCATCTTAGAAGCGAGGAAATGCGATATAAACAAACAAATAAACAAACAAACAAACAAAAACTCCGTGGCCTGTAGCCCGCAAGCGAACTATACCGATCGCCGCTTGGCGGCGATGTTAGTGCCTGCCTCTGTGGTCTAGTGGTCAGAGTTCCTGGCTACAGATCCAGAGGTCCCGGGTTCGATTCTTGGCGCTACCAAATTTTCTGAGTAGTGGGTCCGGAACGGGTTTCACTCAGCCTCGTGAGGATAATTGAGGAGCTATTTCAAGGAAATAGCGGCTCCGGTCTAGAAAACAGAGATTAACGGCCGTGGTGATCCGTTGCGCTGACCGCAAAAGTTGGAAATACGATATAAATGATCCGAAAAGGCCGATCCCTTTGGAACGTCTCTGAAGACAGTTTATGATTCAAAGGTCAGACAGATGGTTACATGAATGTGCGCATTTCGTGTTTACAATTTTAGTTATACAGACATCAGACAGCTCTTTCGCGCATTGCTTCGTATATTTAACTTCAGAATATACATGTTCTTCGCTCAGGATTGTCTTAAAATAAACTCTAACCGACAATGAATCCGCTTCTTTGTTATATGAGTATACAATAAGTAGCTTACAATTATAAGTATATTAAATTTATCTCTTACACGATGCAAACAATAGTATGGAACTTTACATATTTCAACTGACATATGAATGTTAGTGCACATAAGGGAATAAACACTGAATTATTCAGTACTCTTTGGATTTCAGCATTATGTAATTTCAATAATAAGAACGGTGATTATCTCGATATGCTTCAGACATCCATTTTCCCTGCCAACGGAGAGCTGTTTGGAGATGAGAGATTTTTACCTACAACAAGATGGTGCTCCATCTCACTACCATCCAGATGTCAGGGCGTACTTTGATGACAGTCTACCTGGACGATGATAATAGGTCGAAGAGGTACTATTGAGTACCCACCACGGTCGCCAGACCTAACACCTCTCGACTTCTACCTATGGGGAACCTTGAAGGATGGAGTTTATCGACAAAATCCAGCTACACTGAACGCGCTACGAGAAACCATCGAAGCGTCGTGTGCAGCCATCACACCGGACACACTGACAGCCGTAGTTCGCTCAGCAGTTCGGCGGCATCGACTCTATTTAGCCGCTGATGGTGGTCACTTCGAACACAGACAATGACTCACTCACTCACTCACTCACTCTCTCTCTCTCTCCGCGCAATAATTGTAACTACATGTCATTTTCCTCCAAAGATACTGACTATCAATGGGTGAGTACTTTTTTGGACCCCTCTGTATACCCATACAGGAATAAAACTGTAAATAAGGAAGACTGCTTAATGAAGTCGATTCTCCAGTTTTGGTAAATACCCTATAAAGGGTTTAATCACTGACATTGTAATTCAGTTATATGAAAAATAAATAAATTAACGTTCTATCTGTATAAAGTTTTCATGAGCAACAAGTGAGCATAAAATCTAATGGGTAATGAGATATTTAATTTCGCAAAGAAGGCATTTGCAAAATGTCTGCACTCCAAATCGATTAAATCTCTACACTCTTTGCTTGTTCTAGGTGTTTGCAGTTACAGACTGGCTCTGTGGTTTAGCGGTCAGAGTTCCCGACTACAGATCCAGAGCTCCGTGGTTCGATTCCCGGCGCTACCAGATTCTCTGAGAAGTAGTGGGTCTGGAACGGGGTCCACTCAGTCTCGTGAGGATAACTGAGGAGCTAGTTTGACGCATACTGTAATTACTAAACATCGTGTTTCAGTACATGGCATGCTCAGTCAGAGCGAATAACTAACATAACTATAGAAGTTTCCTGCCGACATTCTCCTCAGGCATTTCCAATCCGGTTCCCCATGCAAAACAAATGTTCACCTATATTCTATGCTGTCAGGCGTTGATTGGCTATAGCAATATTGTGCTGGATTTTGTCCATTGTCTGGGGTACATATGATATACACGACGTTTCGAGCGGCGGATTTACTGACACCTTCATGTGACTGGTTGTCATTACAATGACATAATTTTTTTTATGAAGAGTGCTAGATATTGAAATCGAACCACGGACCTTCTAAATACTAGACTAATGTATGGAATATATGCTGTTATGGTTTCTATTTTCTGGAATATAACGCCCTGTAATTCGGCGAAATTCAACTGATGTTTCGGAGGAACATACCGATTATATCTTCACGGTCGAAGAGTAAGACAAGCTGCTGAGCTTACTCCTTGCCTGACTTGCTCTTCGACCCTGAAGATCAAGGCGAAATATTCCTCCGAAAGGTCGGTTGACTTTCACCGAACTACATGACGCTATACAGTAGAAGTTAGCGCTGTGAGAGGCCGCGCCATAGCTCAAGCGGTCAGTCGCTGGCTTCCCACCGCGGCGGCCCGGGTTCGATCCCGGGTCTGATCAAATGTGATTTGTGGTTGACAAAGTGGCGCTGGGGCAGGTTTCCTCAGAGTACTTCGGTTTCCCCTGCCAATCTTCAATCCACCAATTGCTCCACAACCACCCTCACCTATCATCTGGGGCTGGTACAATAGGACAGAAGTGGCCGCAGTACAAGGGACTTAGTCCCACCCCACTAGCAATAAGAAAATAGTGTTGAGAGAATAATAATGTGGTGATACCTGGTGATCGAAGCCGGCGAAGTACTCGGCGCAGGGCTGCTCATGGTTCTTCCCCGCTGGAGTGGGGGGCCAGCACATGATCCCGTCCCACACTTGTGGACACAGCAGGCCGTAACCTGCATTCAGAGAGACAGGCACTGTGCACAGTATGGGCTCTAGCGCTCATCAGGCAACACAGCATTCGTCAGTTACCTACGCAGTCAGCTCAGCCACTCTTTCATTTCCTATTCAGCTTGATGCTCATGGAGTGCAGATGGAAGAGTGTTACTGACAGAGGTTTCCGACTGTGCAAATGGGTGGAATTTGACGAAGACGGATGAAATATTACACACAGGCATTAATATATTTTGATTGTAATTAAACATTTTCAGTAAAAGTTATTATGAACAGGAATTAGTATTTTGCATTATGAACCAATTTTTGCACCGCTTCAGAGAAATGTGATAGAACTGGATTCAAACTTCGTCTGACCTCCACATAGTTACCAGAAGACATAAGCTTAATTACCACTAAACCTGTCTCTCAAAAGGAGTAAATGCAGCCGGTAGGTTTGCCGGTGAGAGCTGAACTAGTGAACATCTTTTGGACTAACTTATTCGGCATCTCCCAACTAGACGCATGTTTCTGCGTACGCACTTTTACACGCGCGAGACAGTCCCCTACCCTGCGATCCGCTGACGAAAACTCGCCCAAAAGCCGATCTGCGAAATTTCCAGAAATTAACATCGCGTGAAAAGGCTCCTAAACATACAGATACATAATTCTCACCTATATAATGTGCTGCCATCTAATAACAATAATAGAAATTATCTGCACCTTATGTCACGGCTAATTTTGAACAGGGCTATTTAACCAGCCGTCGGATTTGGGGATGTTTTGTGAAATGGAAGGGAAAGCGAAGGACAAGCAAAACTTCACCAAAACTGGGGTTTTCCATTCGTCCAAGAACAACGTCTCTAGCTATTATTTACAAACGTATATTAGATTTGGACTGAAAGATTGGATACACAATATTTTCGTCGAGTCCTGACAGGCAAAATATTTCCTCGAAGAAGTAAAAAGTCGTCTCTAGAGGTCCCACTTCAGAGGTCACTATCCGGGTCCGACCTGGTACGTTAGAAACAAATGGCAGTTGGAATGCACATGAAACATGATGGCTCGGTTGCTTCATAGCTAGCCACAAATAATAGACTGGACTTAGCAGAAAAGTATTCGGTATGGCAGCTCCACGAGTAGCGAGTCTTTCTGGATGTACCGAGGGTCACTCTGGAAATATACGTGTATATTGGAATGGGATGTAAGGTATCCCCTGACTCCATTTCATGCAGTAGCTCAGTGCAAAGCTGGTACATAAATGTGCAAGAGAAGGTTCTCAGGAAAAGCGGTGACTTGTAATGGGCCTGTCTGGCTCACCTGTGGGCGTGGAAGAACTGCTTGAGATCCCACTTGAGCACACCTCCTCCTTTGCCTTCAGCCATTTATACTGTTCCTCAGGGCTCAGTACGTGAACACCTTCCTGGAGAAAAGAGATGCATAAACCCTTTAGAGAACTTTCCAACCTACTTCCTTTATCTCACAACAAATTTAGCCTCATTCTGGCATCATGTCTGAGTGATTCTGTCGCCCAAGAATCTTTAAAATATTACTCATTAGCATTACGAATAGCATGCTACAGGTTGGATTAGATACCACGACATCAACATTTTTTTTCCTGTGGCGCTACAGCCCCAATTTGGGCCTAGGCCTACCTACATCAAACTCTCCGTTTCACTTCGGTTTACTAGATCTTAAACATTCGGTAGGACTCCTTGGGCGGGTGATCAGCTCGTCGCAAGGCCTCTACCTGTACGCAAACACAGAAAAACGCACATACACAAACACTAAACATCCATGCCCTAAGTAGGGTTCGAACCCACGATCCCAGCTTCCGAGCGAGCGAAGACAGTACATGCCTTAGACCGCTCGGCTACCGTGACCGGCAAGACACCAACATACTCTCTACTTAAATACCATAAGCTTCATATAGTTGGCTAAAGGGCGGACTTCTGATGTGAGAATAATACTAGCACTATCTTGAAATTGTATTGTAATACGAGGGAGAGTCAGTAAATAGGTCAAAAGTGGATGTAAATCGTAAAACTGTGGAAAACATTCATATCTCGACATATCCTCCACGAACACTGATAAACTTTTCACGTCGCTTTACCAGTGAACCGAAGCCCGCAGCATAGAAGTCTTTCGACTGTTGTCTCAGCGACTTCCGCACCAGGTCCGGCATCATCTGCGACTCTCGAACGCTCTTGAGAGAATTTTTTCGACCCACGTGTGAACCGCTTCACGCGACAAACACTTCCCACCGTAACTAGGAAGCATTTCTTTGTGAATATCTTTTGCACTGATTCCTTTCGCCCATAAAAATCGCACAACATAACGCTGTTCTCTGGTAGTACAGTCCTCAAACATGGTCGTCATGTTTACTACTGAACCCAACCTCTGAACATGCTCATGCGCTTGCAGAGGTTGTATAGGTAGCGGTATTGGGCAGATACGACAGCATCATCTAAAAACGTCGCTAAAATAAACATTTCAATTCAGGCATGCATTTCACGAGGTGTTTCCATATTTTTGTTCATGCCCTGTATTTACTGACTCTTCCTCGTATATCCTTTAAAAATGTGGAACTTATAGGCCTATTAAAGCCACATCTTTTTAGATAAACGACGGAAGGTACGCAGGCTGAGTGTAATCTATAAATAGCGTTTTGCTGAGTAAGCTAAAATTTACCCTAGTTACTATAGGATTCTGACGATGGTGTATAACACACAGAGATATTGGGTTTTCGGACTTTATCCATCGTCCTGGTTTTAAGACAACTAAGAAAAACGAGACGTTTCGGAAACTGCATCTGTTTCTGTCCTCAGGTGAGGGAAAACACCTATTCTGTTGGGTCCCTTAGAAACAGCTAGCCTCAATCCAATTTATCTTAAAACCAGGACGATGGATAAAGTCCGAAAACCCAATCTCTCAAATTTTCCCTGTTCTTAATTACGTAATTACGCACTATGCTATAAAGGCACATGGAGAACGGTGGTGTATCTCCACAGTTTTTGACCTCGACCATAGATGGAAGTGAGTGGTCAGCTTCACACTCCCGCCTCTTTAGCCCCGAATATAGCGCTCCCTGTGCCCATTATATAAGAGGGTGGGTACCTCTCTGTTAGGTAGCGACACAAAACGAGCCTGAGGCGTATTCACGTACCGTGAATGTAACTATAAACTTTATACTAACTTAACATAACTACTTGCGTTTCTACCCTTGCCTGGACCTTAATTTTTAAAACAATTATACCGGAAAATATTTCAAACAAAAATTAAGAAGAAAAATAAGGTGCAGTTTCTTAACTCTGCCCACTCTTTCGAGAAATATTTCGGTTTGCGAGGTAATTCAAATGAAGTGAGTGAGAATGTCAGAATTGATACGCTGTGTGTACAATCTCAGATTGTCTGCAATGCAGCAATGATATGTTTAGTTAAGACATGACCAGATAACACTGTGAACTGAAGGTAGCAAGTGTTCCTCGAACTTATACTGCCTCTAATTTATTCGTGAGCTTCTTTTATCGTAAGTTCCATATATTTAAGTGTAGCCGCATTTTCGAAGGATCTATGCTGTATCTTTACGTCATTATAATTCTGTCCTGCATTCTGACGAGGAAGAAAACTGTATTTAGTTTTCTCTGCATTAAATTTTAGACGCACTTCCTTCCTAACTTGTAAAAGAAATTTGTTTAATTTTTTGTATGGCATTTGTGTTTTTGTGCAGTAGTTAACATCATCAATACAGAGCAGAGGCTGATGCGTCCCGTTCAATTTCAGTCCATTCTACATTCTTGGACCTTAATTACGTCTAGTAGTCTATGTACAAAGGAGTAACACAAAGGAAGGAATGAAAAACGAAAGAAAGACACGTCGTAAGAAATAAGGTCAGAAAAAGAAATGAATTGAAGAAGCGACAAACAAAAAAGTAGAACCAGATGAAAATTTTTAAAATTGAGAGATCATATGAACCAGAAAACTCCTGGTAAAATAATATCAATGACACAAATAAAGAGACCCTAGGCTGAAAATTTCTATTTATTGCGGTGGTGAACTATCTCTACAGATAAGATGTTTCAGGAGGAACTCATAAAGTGCAATTGCCCGTGGAACTGGTTTACAGCCCTCTTTCATTAACGTGTTGGACACAAGCGAGACAGAAGAAAGCCCGAATTATCGGCACAAAATTATGGTATNATTATTATTATTATTATTATTATTATTATTATTATTATTTTGTGTTTTTACATGAATTAAGTGATGCTATTAACTATTCCCAGTACATTCTTTTTGTTGATAGCATCAAAACTTACCGCGCCATCATCTGTCCTAAATAATGCAATCTACTAGTCTGGCATTAACTCTGTACAAGGTTGGTGCACTGCTAACTGAAACTCAGCCTTAATAAAACTAAAGTCACATGCTTGTCAAAGAAAGCTAAATACTGACCTATGAATATAAACTTAGTTAATACTCTCTTCCCACCGTGGCGGCCCGGGTTCGATGCCGGGTCTGGTCAAGTGGGATTTGTGGTGGACAAAGTGGCGCTGGGGCAGGTTTCCTCCGAGTACTTCGGTTTCCCCTGCCAATCTTCAATCCTCCAATTGCTCCACAATCACCCTCACCTATCATCTGGGGCTGGTACAATAGGCCAGAAGTGGCCGCAGTACAAGGGACTTAGTCCCACTCCACTAGCAATAAAAAATAGTTAATACTCTACAAATTATACCGACTCTGTTAAAGACCTGGGAATGTTTCTGGATTCTAAATTACTTTTCCATAATCATTTCAATTACATATTTTCTCAAGAATGCAGTCTTCTGAGATGTGGCAAACCGATTTCAATTCTTTGATTTTATTTCTTCGAGAGGCCATTGAAAAGTTGTTCCAATATTAAGATGAATGCCGTCTTCTGGGAAGTGGCGCCGAGTATATCCTATGTAAACAGACGTTTCGGAGGAACGTCGGTTTACATAATATCTACACAGCGCCACATCTCAGAAGACGACATTCTTCAAAGTCACCGCCGTAAAAACCTCAAATCTGATATGTATTTTCTCATTTTATTCAACTTTTGTGATTAATTCGCAGCGTAACTTTCACTCTCTCATCCAAACGGTACAGAGATGTATCATATTTTAAGCTAGTTAGATATGTTTGAATATGCCTCTTGGAATTCAATTCGTCTACTGATGTCAGCAAACATGAATGAACCCAGAATATATGAGCAGCCCTCTGTTTTATCATTTCCCCAAGCACATTAAAATTATGCTCGTGCTTTACATCAGTTAAAACTGAACACCATGCGTAAGAGGATATATCACCTTAATTAACTCTTCCATTTAGCGGCCTCCGTAGTCTAGGGGTAACGTTCCCACCTCTTGACTCAAGGCACGCGGGTCCAAACCCGGCGGAAGTCGTGGAATTTTTAAGGGCGGAAAAATTTAAGGAACAAGTCCTCCGGCAGGGACTTTAAGCCGTGGGTCCCGTGTCGTAGCTTTAGGGCACGTAAAAGAACCCCATGTCCCAAGGGGACCACTGAGCCAAATTCAGGACATTTCCCGCCCAACAGTAGTCTCTTTAATTAGAGTCAGTGAGCAGAGGAATATCCTACACGAAATAAGAAAAGGGAAGGCTAATTGGATTGGTCATGTTTTACGCAGAAACTGCCTTCTAAAAGAAGTTATTGAAGGAAAGATAGAGGGGCGGATAGAAGTGACAAGAAGACGAGGAAGAAGACGTAAGAAGATGCTGGATGACCTTGGGGACAGAAGAGGATACTGTCATTTGAAGGAGAAAGCTCTAGATCGCATTAAGTGGAGGAATTGTTTTGGAAGAGACTGTGGACCTGTCGTCTGACAGATTACTGATGATGATGAGTAGTCTCTAACGCCTCTGGTATATGGGGGGAGCATCGAGATACCGCTGAGCCAGTAGAGGCCGAACTCGCTGGCTGAGTTGGGACTGATGGCACGAACCAGTACCGGTAGGGAATAGAGACTGGTAGAATATCATAGGGGGACGCACAATGGACCAACAGTTGGTCTAAGTGCATGGGGAAACCCACCCTCTCCAATACAATACAACTCTTCCATTTTGAAATTAACCTCGGTTCTAAATTCTGGCCTTCACTTTTAGAAACTCTTGCTATCGTGTTCCTGCTCCGTATATCAGAGAAATTTCAAAATTCAATGTCTGCTCTTCTGTTAAAAATTGTCCTTCTGCTAGACGCGCTTTAGCTGCGGATATTTTCTGTAGGGGAGTTTACGTTTGGGAACCAAAACAACCTCTTCACCATATTGCAGCATGTAGACCCATCGCTAGGAAACGAGTTGACAAACACGTTTCCGTAGAGATTGATTCTTGGAAACCAACTCGTTACGGAACACATTTCCACGGATACGAGTGATAAACATTTCC